AGCTCAATCTCAGTGCCTCTTCTTGGTAGCTGATTATTCAGACATGAGGTAACTTTTTCTGATTGTATAACCTTAAAGCAACAAACATATTGTATTTCATCATTAGAAACCATTTGCTAAGGTATACAATGTAAGTTCCTAACAAAGTTTACATAGCCCTTGCACAAATGGGCCATTAGGAAGTGGAGTGTGGAAGATAATGTATCAAGGTTGTTGAGCCAACAGTTCAGCAGGCCAGTCCCCACAGCAGTGGGCTCTCATGACGTGATGTCACACAGGGGTAGGTTTCCTCCTGCGGTGTCCCTGTGTTGGCTAAACACTCCAGAGGGCTACTGATACCACCCACTGTCTGAGACAAATGTCAGCCCCTACAACAAGTTTGACACTGTAGCTATAGGGTTTAGTACATTTTGTACATGTAGTAGGCTGATTGAAATTTAACATGCATGTAATATACATGTATCCATGTATATTTAGCTACCTGGTCCCTATCCAAGAACCCATTTTCGTTTTTTCCACTGGTACTGGGCTAGAGGTACGGATCGTGGAGTTATGCCATGGAGGGACCAAGGAGGTTTAAAAGAGCTCTTTTCCAAATCTCCTTTGAGGGACTAAACGGGTAGCATATAAGTCTATAAAGGAGGCTAACCCCACACTACCTTTCTCATTTGGCTCCAAGTGACTATGGAGAGATTCAAACTAAAATCTTGCAGAGCTAGCTGCTATCTACATGTAGATTAAATCGAAAGAACCAAATAATTCAGATAAACTACACAGAACCAAAGAATATATTGGATATCACTGGGATGCCATGTAACACAGGTGGAGTGTGTGTACTTGTGACAATCTGTTTAAACTTGTCCCAGACTATTGGAGATAATGAGTGGTGAAGTTAGAAGTGTCCAACCAAAATAAACAGAGGTGGGAGTCAGTAGGTCAGCTGTGTTGTTGCAGAGAAGGAAGATCAACTAGTCAAAGATAAGTAACCACAATGGTTGGATGCTGGCCAATCTATGATATGGATGATTTTGCATAGGAACTGCTTAAAACCCTTGTCCTGCTGTGCGCGACATATGTCGCGCGGCACATACAGTACCATCTATATAACACCCTGTATAGGTACGATTTGGGGGTATTTCTCGTGCAACGCATCACACCGCAGCAAAACGCAACGAATGCGGAAGTAACTACTGTATGCCACTGCAGGGCAAAAAAATTGCGGGTCTATGATCTAATTAAGACATGAAATTATTGAAAAATATTGTGCCAGGAATGCCAGCAGGACAAGGGTTAAGATACCAAGAGCAAATAGGTGCTGTGTTGGCTTTAAAATTTGATTGATTTTAAAGTGGACTTGTGGTTACCTGCTATGCAGTCAAAATGTAAAGGATGGACAGGTCCCACCTGTTGTTCCTACTGTCGGGAAGATCTCTTTCTTGGGATCGTGAACAATTAATGTGTACCAGGAAAGAGTATACACGGCTCATTTGTGCAATTAAAAAGAGGAGGGTTGAATTCAGGATTTCATTCTATTGACAGCTGAAATGCAAAAGCATGGGGCTGTTCAAGTTCAAGGTTAGGCTGCATGCAGATTTGCGGTCATGGCACAAAGAATGGAATACATTATGCTGGCGGAGTGATGTCTCCAAGGTACCTATCAGTGCTTCAGGGAGAATTTCTTTAATCTGCAAATATTGCTTCTTCATACTTTTCTTTCCTTGTTCCCGCTCATTTACATGTATGTACGAAATTCACGTTGCTCACAACTTGCGCCAGTTAAGATAGAGGGCTTTTGAATAGTATGTATTTTAGTACAATTTTAGCCAAGAAATTTGAGAAGGAATCAAGTACATCGTGTTTTATGCCAAAACAAGGCTTCCTCTAAGTCATACTTTTTCTATCTTTTGTATACATCTAAATGACAATTAAATCTTAATTGATTGTAGATGTGTGAAAGGTTGAGCTTTGAATTGTCTGTGGATGTTTTTGCCCCCTTAATTTGCTTTTGAACTTGACAAGAGACAAGAAACAGGCCAAGATCAAGGGACTTATTCTAGCTTTCAGAGTCAATGGTATAATTGGGGTCTGGACAACGTTATGAGATGAAGTTCAAAGTGGAACAGGTCTTCATGCGGTTGACATGGCAACTACAGACCCTAGCAAGTACCCAGACATTGTGGTCAGATAAAATTACTCATGTTTTGACATGGCTTTATCAGATAAAGGACAAAACCACTTGATCTACCAAGAACTAATAAATAAATGTCAATACTGAACATATTATCAACCACATTCTACCACTGTTTACAAGACAAAATGTGCAAAATATAACATTACTGCAATAATCATTGGGATTTGATATACAACAATCTTTGGAAAGGAAATAATTATCTTCTACATAGTACTAATGCTAATGGTACACTGTACATACCACTGGTACATACTGCTTTCTCTGCTTGGCTCTCAGCATCTATTAGAAAAAGTATGTGAAGGTCAAACACACAACACTACCAGCGGGCTAGCTAGCCCCCTGCTATAGTCATTGCACAATGGTGTGGCCCAAGGGCAACAAAAATGGAGATGGGCACCACCCCTATGCTCTGAGTGGAACAGGACTTTTTTTTACACAGTACTACTGAACTTTTTCTGGTACCTTTACTCTGAATGCAGGGAAATGTCAGTCAATGACCCACACAGCATGATAAATGTGCTATCAGGCCTTCAGTAATGCCAACATCTCCAGGCTGTGATCTTGGCAAAGGAAGGTCAGACAGTCCAACTGTATCAGTCCAGTCAACACCTACACATATTGCCCCAACAGCCAAATGGGTACAGGATGGGTCTACTAGACAGTTGATCTCTTTGTATGGGAACATTTCTTGCATAAATAAAGCTTAGCATTGATTGATCCAAATCTGTTTGGTTTGGTTGATTAAAGTAGTGAATTTATCAGTCACCACAAACACTACCTGATAGGAAATGCTATCTGAAACATCTGACTCATCAGAGGTGGCCTGCATGCCCTTTTCCATAGATCGTAATTGGCCATTTTAATTCTACATCGACGGACCGCTCTTATTCAGCATAGAGCATAATTGGCGCTTTTTGCATAGAGCGTAATTCGCTGTTTTAATTCTACATAATGCGTTGTAGCTACCCAGAATTTCTTTACGTAAATCGTAATAGGGAGCCTTCTTGAATTCAGCATAATAGTAATTATGTAGCCTGCTCTCAAAATTTTGCGCAGAGCATTGTCAGGACCTCCTTAGAGAAATTAACCAGTTGCTTGATTTATTTTCCATTACACTGTTCTACCTGGTAGTCTAACCTCCATCTATGTACATGTACATGTACCTTCTTAGCTGTTGGCAGTTGTCCCTTTCACTGTTTCAGAATGATTTTTCTGGAAGGCAGTAAAGGTTTATAGGTGTTTTTAAACTAGCCGGGGTGAGCATTTCCACATTTGGCAATAATATAGTTCAACACAGTCACAACCTTGGAACATCACAATGGCCTCAGCATGGCAGATTTATAGTTTCTGACTTGTGGTTTAGCTTCCATTAACATGCTTCACTTCAATTTGGGAATTCCATTTTACTTTCTTTGTCTCAATGCCAGAAGTCCTGAATGTAGAACACCATGATTACTGTATTGCGTGATCTGACTGATTCTAAGGCAAAGTGTTTTAAAGTTTTGGAAATAGTAAGAGACAAATTGAAGGAAAATTGAATGAACTCCCAAGATTTAAGTGCTCTAGCTGAATAATGTTGTCTGTCTGCAAGCAGTTACAGATGAAGTGATTTTGGAATATTAGACACGAGTACTTGTTTTAAACATTTTATGTGAACAGTATAGTGTTGGAGAAAATCTTCCTCCAATTCAATTTTTTTCTGTCTATATTCAGTTTGTAGCTAGCCAACTTATATGTGTAGGGAGAGCTATTACGCTTGAAAAAATTATGTTGTATGCAAGTGTTTGAAGGGCAAAAGATTAAAATCTATCAGTTCTTGAATGATTGGCTAGCACTAAACTTAAGGTTAGTATAAGCCTCTGGCTAGCTTTACGTCCTTGGCTTCATGTCAGCCCAACCAATAGAATAAAATGAAGACAAATCACTACTTGTGGCAGTCAACACCTCAGGCGATAATCTGACCTTGCCAGGTATATCATGTCAATATTTACTTCACACTGTCTGTCTCTGCAAAGTTCTGTCAACCAAGATTAATGGGAATTTGATAGCTGGACCTGCACAAAGCTATCCACGCTGGTTTCTGATGATGGAAAACATTGTTTAGTCTGACCTTCCATGGCAATAACAGTTTTAAACTTCGGGTTACGGCAAAAAGGCACCTTTACCAAACAGATTGTGTTGTCGGTGACAATGCTGTCATGTTGTGGCAGCAAAATCAAAAGGTTTGGAATGACACGTCCTGTAGCCAAAGCAGGCCAGCTGAACGGTTGAGTTTATTCTGCTTATAATCACAAAACAAAGCAGCTTGTGGACAATACTTCCTAATGGGTCGCTGGCATGTGCAGGTTAGCTGCAGGTCACTGGATTGTGTCAACTCCAAATTCATGGCAATGAAAGATGAAAAGGATTGGCTGTAAACTTAAGTTGAACTCTTAGACTCCTCTTTTGTATCCTTTCAATGGGTTTGCAATCGCAATGTCAGTCTTTGATATAAGATCTTAAAACACAAATCTATTGTATGGTACAGTAACTCTATCAAAACAAGGCTAGTCACGTTTTTTATGCTGCAGTAAAAACAATCCTGGATGCCACCATAGTCCCTGACCCTCAGACATGAGGGTGGGACTAGGTAAAGGTAAAGGTAAAAAAGAATGGACAAAGGGAGATATACTGGACTAAAGAACCTGTACTGTGACAATTATAATCTCCTTTTATAACCAGCAGTGAATCATAATTTATACTATTACAATAATCATTCCATTGGCACAAATTTGCTTGTATCTAAGAATATGCTCATATTTACATCCAGGCAAAAAGTATGACTTGTTGGAGAGACTGAGAGTGCCAGACCTGCCACACGGCATCAGGCAGACGTGCGATGACGTTGACTGTCTGGCCTATGACATTGAACCCTATGCAATGTTGAGTGCACCTACAGAAGAAGTTTTTCCAGAGGGGTGAGTCTGTTTAACATGTTACCAATAATGATTCTTTACAATGATGTTACATAGAACTGCTCAGTGTCTCTGGCAACTGAGTTGTCACTTCTATTGTAGCAGAAGTAACATAATATTGTGATGTTAATGCTGAAGAAGTTAATGGAGTCAACACACTTATGTATACACATACATGTTACTGATTCCTAAAAACATTAAGTTCTTCTTTCTTGCTAAACTCCAAATTGACATGTTTGCATGTTCCTTTTTCTCTTGCAGGTTTCCTACAGAGTTCACTATTTCAGCAAAGCTGCAGTACTACAGAAAGTCCTTTTCAAATCTATTTGCAATATTGGACCCTATTGGGAGATTACAACTGTCAATCAAACTCTCACCCAGGGATATAGAGCTTTATACACCTAGTCAGGGAATATACAGGTAAGTTCTCTATCTGTATCTGTATCTGTTTTGTTGCGTGTGTATAATAGTGGCTAGCTATTTTGCATCAAATGATTTTTGTTACAACAAGCTAAGGCCCAACATTTCTATCTTGAGGTATTGTTACTTTAAACTTTCAAATAAACATTCAGATCTGTCTCAAAAACCTGGTGACACTCTACAATGGTTCAAGTAAAGGGGAAATCTTTTAACATCTCGATACTGGGTTGATACACCACTTAAACTAGCAATATTTTCCTCTCTCTCCTTCTCATTCTTGGCTGTCTGTAACCAATGGCCACCTGTAACAATTGGCTGCCAATACAGTACAGTACTTTGCCCCACATAATCTGCTTGAAGATTCGTTTCAGAATCAGATGCACTTTGAAAGTAACCCGAAGATTCTTCTTGTCTAGACTGACTCTTCAGGTTTGTTTACCGTAAACAACAACACAACCACCTCCACATGTACCTCAGCTCCTGTGTGTAGGTCCCCCATCAAGGCAGGGATGATAACCCTGAGACTGGGGTCACATCAGCTGTCCCAAGTCTGACAGACTCAGCCCAGGGTGCCCCAAAACTGTCAGCACAGGGAAAGGTGGTCGGATTTTAGGGAGAGTCACCTCCGATGTCACCTCCGTCCTTAAGGGCTAACACACGTTCAGCAGCTAAACGTTTACGGGACTATGACCCCCACCAGCTTCATTGTCCATCAGCAAGAGTGGCAGCATATCGTGGTAGCCTACAGCACTACGGCGCGCAGCTGTGGAACGACCTTCCCATTGAACTGAGAACACTGACTGAGTTCCGGACATTTAAGCGTCGCTTAACAAAGATGCATGATATGTAACGTATCTGGTAGAATAACTGTATATTGTGTAGCTGTTGTTATTGTGATTTGTGAATGTATTGAGTTGTTTTGAAAAACAGGATTGTCTGAAAAACAGGTCAAATGACCTGAGCGCAATTTCCTGTATAAATAAATAAAGTGAAAGTGAAGTGAAAAGAGAGTGGGGTCTCATGCAGTTCTGTCTATATAGCTACATGTAGATCTAGATGTCCAATCATGACTCAGTAGCATTGACTTTTCGTATATAGGATATGCTCTGTACATACATACAACCATGCATACATACATACACACATACATACATACATAACTTTACATGTTCAGGTATCTCATCATCAACTCAGTTGTTTGTCACTCCATCAGAACTCATATTAACAAGAGAAAATCCATAAAAATCAGGAAATCTGTACCGCCAAGTAATGTTCAATTTCTTACTCTCTTGGTAACGCATTGTACCTTGAGGTTATCTCTTTTTCAAAGAAACCAGCATCCACCATCCATACATAATGCCCTTCTCAAATGGGGAAACGAAGGAGAAACAGTCACCTGTCAGATGCAGGCAGTGTCCTTTTCTGCCTAACTGATCCCTGTGCATGAGAGAAGGCTCAAGGAGTTAAGCAATTTAGAGGAGGGACTCTCTGCACCTGGCCTGTATTTAGGATCACCTTGTTAGTGGTGGATGTGACCCACTGTTGTACTAGTAACTAACTGTCTCAGTTATAGTTATAGTACAGATGAAATACTGTATATGATGTTTGCACTTAGACAGTAATTACCTCTTCTTAGTGGTAATATGAGAATGGAATACTGTCTTCCTTACCATTTGAATTTTGATGATTTGGCCCTCTCCACTTGACAAGTAGCATTCTTGTAAACAGTGAATTATGAAGATGCACATGTGTATAATTTGAAAGAAATGGTTCTATAGCTGTAACAGTCAGCTTATCAATTATTATGGTGCAACTGTGTCAATAATGGAGCACTAAATTTTTTTAAAACTTATTGTCATCTCAGAATTTTCAGTCTCTCACTGTTCCTGCAGATTTTTCACTAACTGTCTCCCTGCCGTTATTTCTCCAGTGTGTCGGTTCCAGACCTAGACGATGGGTTGTGGCACAGTTTTGCAGTATCTGCAACCTACGACATGATTGTATTCTACTTTGACTGTGAGTGGATGGACACGTTACACATCGTTCCCAGCCCCCACTACATACAGATGGACGGTATCACCCTGTTGGGAGGCCAGGTTGACTTCAGTGAAGTACCATTTGAGGTAACCTAAGATAGAAAAACTTGAAATTCCAAAAGAAAAAATATAAAGTCATTGTAAAGTATAGTATTGTAAATAGTTATACGTGTACATGTAGTTTATCGGGTTCATACAAATGTAGACTTACTAAATACAACTCATTTTACACGTTTCACACTTCACACTGCATTTAGCCACATGTACATTATGCTATAGAGCACCAAATAAAATTTCCAAGTCACTATGATAATAGTTATGATTTATCTTGTTGATAATGATGATATCTAAAAAGAATATTTTAATTTTTGTATATCATCTTCATGTGTTCCAATCATTTAAAACACCTGGAATGTGCCCCTTGTCCTGAAGCTCAGTGATGACCTTTTTGGCAGCGACTTGCCAGAAGGATATACCTTGGCCTTGTACGTAACACATGTACAAGGTGTCTGGAAGTTGTCTTACTACAGTGTGGTTATCTCCCTAGCTTGTCCTTACTTGACTCCCACTCTCTTGCCAGGTTTTCTCATTTAAGTCTACATTAAAACCTATATTTAGATGCTGTTCACTTCAGTACTTAAAACCATAATTCTCATCCACTTAAGGTACACTGTATTAGCATCCTGCATCTTGAGTCTTTAAAAACTCTCTAACATCTTCAGATTTATTCTACGTCACTAATACCTGAATCAAATTTGCTAGGAACAGATAGGTAGAACTCAGATCTACTTGTGAGCAATAAGAACAGACTGGGAAATTGCTTTAAAATGCCAAATTAAGTGCTTGAATGGTAGTTGGCAGCTGTGGCTGGCAGTTGTTTGTCATGACTATTCGTTGACACTCGTGATCCACTGCAATGATGATGATTACCATCAGCAGCCCAATGTTGCAATGGCTTCCACTGTCTTCCACTGTCACTACTCTGACAGTTCTTCCCCTGCAGTTAGCTTCTTCGAAATGATAACAAATATTTTGAAAGTACTGTTTGGGCCTGTCATGATCTTGACTGTCAGTGTCAGCTTCCATTGATGATGGTCTGTAAGAAAGTTGGACAGTTGTTATCTATGTGCAGTAAGTGACCATATCTTGCAAAACTGCCAACTGTCCCTAGTTCAACCATCAACACAAATGTTACCCATTTAAGAAGTTGGCAGATGTTCAGACAGTGAGCTGCAAGAGGAAGAGAGGCTTGTGTAGAAGCCAAGTTGGCAGCTCCTACAGTGCAATGATGGTTTAAGAGGGGGTTTAAGCCAACCTTCTAATCCTAAAACCTTGATGCAGATGGTGCTCTGCCTGGAACTTGTGGTAGAACATAACCCCACAGAAGGGGATTAGGTTTGTGAACTCAGACAAAACTTGTGGCAGGCCTTAGGGTGTGACGCATTGCAGATAGACTGTGAAGGAAGTAGTTATGGTCCTCTTATCACTGTGGGAAAAGGTCGCTTTCCTGAAACCACTGCATGTGGCCTGCAGTTTTCTGGATCATGCTTTAGGCAAGGCTTGAAAAGAAAATAGTTTGTGTCAGGAAATGTTTGTAGTCAGGAAAATAGTTTGTAGTCAGGAAATGTTTTCCAATGGCGGGAAATTCCCTCACACTTTGGCAAATGGAACTCAGCAGCTCTAGCAGACAATTCACCTTTGTCAAAGACTGTCTGGTATAAAACCTACGACAAAGGTGGCTGCTGTAAATTGCTTCACATAGTAGTAGATGGAACTCCTGACAGACAATCCATCAAAGACCTCAGTAACATGTCTGACCCAGGACCTCACTGTCGACAAACCAACAGACGAGACAGTCTTGCTGAGAAAAGGAGAACATATAGAAACTACTCATGATCAAGAGTAGCAATTATTGATCAGCTACTCTTTTTACAGTCCTTAAACGTTTCCTAACACATGCATTCCCAAGTGTAGAAATTTTCTGCAAGTGTGGAAGAAATTTTAGGAGCTGTTATAGCTAGCTAAGCCTTGAAATGAGGAAGTTGCATGGGGCAAGTTTTCCTAGTGGAGAGCATGGATTGTGACAGCCACTAAGATTGGGACCAGACGAGAAGCCCTCAGATCTTGGTTGTCCCTGGCACCTTTGCTCTCCACCTGTCAGTCTGTGACACAAGACTCATCCACCTTGACGTGGGCAAAGATAGCGCAGGTGAATGGGTTCAGCTGCAAGCACTAGTTTGTTATAGCCATCTGGTTTATGGTTTGGAGAAAACTGAGTACTTCCAGAAGGTCTCTTTGCCAAGGTTGGGATGAATTTGGATGGATCAAAATGGGTTTTTTCTTAACACTTTTAGTAATACTTTTATGTCAGATGTCCTGTTTTTTCTTGGTTTTATTTTGGACGTGTTCTTCATTGCTGCTGCATGCTACTGACCCTTGATTGGTTTTGGTTCAGGTTGATTCCATGGCCAACAGAGCCTGGTTGACCTGTGACAGTCCATGGTGCTTCTTCACAGCATGCACAGATTAGTAGCCAGATCTCGAAGCTTATTGAGCTTTACCAGGAAAAACAAGGTTACACTTTAACCAGTCTTTGAAATGGTTCCAACTTGGAATCAGTGTGAAGGTATATGGTATATAGGCAGCCCTTCACAATCACGAGGATGAAGATGGTCTCATCAAAGGACCCAGGGGATCCATAAAAAAATGATGGAGAATGATATGTCACTTTTAGCACATCCAACTGCATCCCCAGTTGCCTACAGTAACAGTTGTTATCATTAAGAAGGCTAAGCCTGTATTTCGTGCATTATGTAATACTTCTAGTACTTAGTAGCCTGATCTAATAAATACTCTTAGGCTGGTCATGATTGCACTTGCCCTGAGTCTTTGACATCTTCCCAACTCTTGAAACATACTTCTGAGAGATGTCAAGGACTTTTGGTGTTAGAGGCTCCATAAGGCTAATGGAACAGACAGGTGTGCGTGCATATCAGTCTTGTTTGTTCAATTTCCGTCCAGGTGATGTATCTCTTTCTGACATAGTGAAATCTCCTAAGGGTATCTTTGTCATGCTTTGTGTAAGCAGCACCATAGGAGAAAGGGTGTGGTCAGTTATGTGAAGTATGGGATATATGGCAGCTCCTATCATTTTCCCCTGTATAAACAGGTAGTCATCTAAATTGTACATGTAGGTACTAGCAGATGAGTTATATTAGAGAATCTCAAAATTCCATTTTTCATATCTTGAACTCACATCTACCCACTTCTTCAACATCTTCATCTTTTTTGTCTTCTCAATTCATCTACAGTTTATTGCTGTAATCATGTAACTGTGTCTTAATATACGTTAAACTTAATTCCTACACCTGTATGCATTTTACAACTGGCAGAAACAATAAAGTTTATATTCCGGGATTTGCTAAGGTTATCACAGAGCAGACCTCAGAAGTCAAAAGGTAAAAGGTGATGCCATGTCTCTTTATTGCAGCTCTGAATGTAATGTAATTTGCTAAATTCAAGGCAACGGTACTTCTGAGGGCTAACCCCATGATTGGGGCAGAATGTTGCAAGTGTCAGGTCATTTACTGTTTTTCTTTTACCCTTAATGCTTAGCACATGAGGGGGGTTGGGTGGTCTTTGCCCCAGCCGATATTGATCAAAAAGCTGTTCAACAGAAAATGGAAAGGGCATAGGCCACCAACAAGCCATATATACTTTTGCTGGTCTGTCATCTATTTTCTATGATACACATATAAATGTTATCAATGCATTGTATGTGTAGGCATTGCTTTACATTCATCCCTTGAATTGTTGCTATGCTCAGTGTAACAGTTTTACCATTTCAGCCTTGGGTCACAGGGTCAATGACCTATAACTGTTACAACAGTTTTTACTAGTTTATAAGTCCCTTCCACAACCATGGACACTTCTGGATTTTTAGCCTTTGAAACAACGGACATCATTTTGATTCTTTAGCTGTGTCTTTTGGAGCTAAGATTGTCTTTTGACAAAAGACTTTTCTCAATGTCATTTGGAGCAAAGATTAACACTAAGCGAGGAAAGTCACCAAGTCTCTTAGTGTTAAACTCAACATCTTTTGGACAGTCCCTTTCCTTGTATTTGCTTATGTGTCTCGGAAATAAAATGTAATATTTTCAAATTGTGAGTCACCCAATGCTGCATTCAAATTGGCCTTGAACATCTTGAAACCCACTGAGAGCTTAGTAGTGTACTTTGGTGAGATGTAGACATTGTTGTCATTTCTTTTGAAGAGATGAAGATGAGATAGGATAAGATGAACAAACTTTGTGGATAAGGTTTGTAAATGAGATACAGGCCAGACATGTTTAACTAGAGGCCAGCATGTGGCAGGTGGGATGGGAAAGATTAATGACTGGGACAGAGGTAGATAATGTGTGGTGAAAGTGGAGAAAGTGAGAATAATCCTTGAGGCACAGAACTCCAGAGGAGAAAGTCCCGCCAAAACGGAAATGCCAGGGCAGAAGTCAGCCTTGGCAGGCCAGTTTTCGCTGTTGGTGACTTGTAAAGGGGCAAAAAGGGACTAATTTATAAACCTTTAGCAAGTTTTCAAAATCTGATGGATGGTACTTTGAAGAAATAAAATAAACTACATCTGATGAACTTAAGTTTGCTTTCTTTTAGAGATAGAAGAAGCTAGTCTTACATCAGAAGAAGGTCATCTGAGCTTTCTGTAAGAGTAGATACAATGTTGTAAGTTAGAGAAGCCATGCATGATTTGTTATGCCTTGTTTGTCCTTGACTGCGCACAGACTAGGCATGTTGAACAGATGTACAAGTACATGTATATAATGATGTCATCAGAGACCCAGCAACTGGTGTGTTACGCCAAAGGGTGGTTATACCAGCTATACAGATACAGGTAACTGAGCAAGACCTTTGTGTGCTTTCAAGGTCTTGGGAATTATCTCATGGGATAGAAAAGACTATGTTGTGTTTGATCTCAATTGCAAGGTGATGGCCTTTCAAACTACAAGTGTCTGAACTATACTACGACCTCTTGACCTGACCATGAGTGCAAACACAAGTGTAGCATCAGACTGGAGGGGGGGGGGGAGGGGGCTTGTTGAACATCTGACCCAGATGAGGAAGTGTCAAAAGATGAGATAAATAGTTTAATTGCAACAATGGAATTCTAGCTATGCTTTCAACCTCAACTGCCTGGGGGTCAGCAATCTTCCAGATGCACATATAGCCACACAGGTCACATGCAAGAGTCATTGAAGAGAGGTACATGTACACAGGCCATGTTTAGAGGACTGAATAGTATTTTGCTTACAGGCAAGATTATGTCAGATCATTAGAATCTTTGAAGGATGACAGACACTGGTGCAGATGTACTGGCTCTGGTTGATGTGATGTGGCTGTATCAATGTCCATGCTGACATAGCTGTAGAAAGGCAGTAGATATGCTATTTTTGGCACACCTTCAAACCTGTTTTCCCTCTTTTTTAATTATAGCTGACCCTGGAAAGTGTTTCAAACCCAGACAAAACATCCCTAGGGAGATTGTAGGGGTCAGGACCCAGATAATGAGCTAATGCAGTAATGGCAACAGCAGCATGAACAACTGAGTTGCAGGTGTAGATACTGTCACATGTGCGTGTTTGGGGAAACAGATCTGGAGGGAGTTACACCATATACCACCAATACTGGTTTCCATCCATCCATCCATCCATCCATCCATCCATCCATCCATCCATCCATCCATCCATCCATCCATCCATCCATCCATCCATCCATCCATCCATCCATCCATCTATCTACCTATCTACCCATCCACCTATTAATGAATCCATCAACGTATTGCTTTCATCTCATTGAAATGTCAAAGCAGGACAGGCCAGATATTTCTACGTCATTGACATCAATACAAGAGACTAACAAAAAGTTTTAGTGTTCTTAGCATCCTCATATAATGAGTATGAGCAACCTCTGGTATTGGGTTATGTATGTTTTCAATTATTCAGGATATGTGAAACCACAGACTTCATTCTTGACTTTCCTCCAAGATTCCACTTTGTTTCCAAGTAAGTTGTAAGGTGCAGCTGTCTGAAAAGGTGCCTAGCTTAGTTTTCATCCCATTGAAGGCATCCAATGAAATTTCATGGCGGCAAAACGAAAATATTCTGGATGAGGAAATCTGTCAAATATTACACTCACTGCCATTTCTTAGCAAATTGTCATCATTCCATACATAAAACAGTCACATTGTCCCTGGCCATGAACCAGAACACTCCTGCCCACCGCAACTGCTGGACGATTTCCAGTCAACTGTGGTTTGATAATATTTTGGTGACCTGTTCTCAAATGTACGACATAAAAGGCATTGAATGTGACACTCTCTGCCTAGGATGCCTTTTGCCCAACTATAAACTATACCTGGATCCTGGGATTGTTTCCAAGAACTGATAAGCGAACAGGCTTGTACATGTAGATAGCAGTCATTCTGAATGGGTGAATTGTAAGTTATTTCTAGCTGAGCGACCTACATATGTACATTGCACATTTGGAGGAATGAATTCAGGGTGGTCTACCTTTGAGACAGAGAGATACTGCTTGTTCTCTTCCAAGCTATTGATGCTTGGCATACAAATGCATTTTCCCTTCCCTTCATTAGAAAATTGCTACAGACCAATGACATGCATGATTCCCTGGCATCTAGAAAGAAACACAAAGGCGTAATTGGGTTTATCCAAATAATTAGTCCCAGTGTTCCCAATGATACCTGATAAGTCTGTAGTTAGCTATGCCTCTGTCAGCCCCTTTTCAACCTGCATGATTTAGTACTGAAAGACCATCTGAAGGTCTGGTGCAAGAGGGTCATCTGGATAGTATAGGGTTCCTACATGCTGATGATAAATTTTGTCACCCCTGCCATGCATAGTTTTGATTATAGATGCAAGCATGTGTCTGTGAGTGTGTTTGTGTCTGTGTCAGTGAGTATGTGTGTACATGTTATGTGTGTGTGTGTGTGTGTGTGTGTGTGTGTGTGACTGTGTGTGTGTGTGTACATACATAATGTGAATAGTAGAATGGGTGATTATTATCTTTAAATGCTGGTACAGTAGATGGACAGAGTTGTGGGAGTGATAGGACCAGGGCCTCTTATGTTACAACAAGAGCAGGAGTCAAAATCATTAAGTTGCCCAGTGCCACTGAAAGTTCAAATGCCACCAGGAAGTGCCTTACTCCCCCAGAACCCCTGTAGAGGACTGAGTCAGAGATCCAGACAAGTGAGGGATAAGATCAACTTTTGTCCTGGTCTATTGGCTATACATTATTTTGTTTTTTCTTGGAAATGTTGGGAAAAAAAACTACACAAAGCTTTTTGGTCTGTTAAAACAAGATGTGAACTAGAGAGGAGACAAACACTTTGAAGTTCTCTTTATCTATCAGTGAAGTCCTTTTTCTCTATCAGTCTGTTGTCTCTGATTGAAGAGTCAAAACCTTCAGTTCAAGCCCCTGTTGTCAGCCACTTTACCTCCTTAGTAACCCATTGTACAAGAAATCTTCCAACACCCCAGGACATCGGTCCCCCTGTCACATGCAGCAGCCAAGAGGACCATGTCTACCTTAAATCACCAGCTGTTGCCGTGGCTACAGACTTTAACCAGCATCAATGCCAAGATAAGAAGTACAGTACCATGTGTCACGTTGTTTCATACACATGCTTATCAGTGCCTTTATACTGTGGGGAAGAACAACCAGTTGTAACTCGTAAACATGTTCTAATCATAACCACCTTGAGACTGACACTCCTACAGTGTAATTTTGAGGGAGATGAATGACAAACTGTTGGCTCCTCCTAACTTTCCCCAGCAGATGTCCACAATTAAAGGCCTGTGTCATTAACATAATAGAACCCACCAGAAAAGATTGCAGCCTTTCTGATGTCAACACACAGCAACGGAGGGCATCCTGTATATCCTGCATTGCCATAGCAACTATCCTAAACGTCGCGTAGTTGACAAGCAGGTTTTGGTATTGTTTTTTTGGCTTGGAGTCAAGTCTGAAAAGGTGGAGCAGCTGAGGCAGGGTGGGAAAGATTGAAGGCCTCACAAGTCACTTCTCATGGGACTATCAGGTCTCCTTCCTCCCCACTTTTACTAGTCGTGTTGCCAGGCTCTTGGATTATGGCGTGGTTGCAACGGTGGATAATTCTGGTTTTCTACGTGAGTACACTTCCCAATCTGTGTTCTGTCTTCTGTTAAAGCGTGCCATGTGGAAATCTGGCTAAGGTTTAGACTTTGAAGTCTGTCTGATCCAGGTTCTTGTTTGGGTTTAGTGTAAAGACTTTGATATCCGAGTAATTTGCCCATGCCAAAGCGGATGAGGGTGACCCACATGTCCAGCACTCCATGCTAAGAGTGCCCGTGTCAGTTTGAAGTAGATACCACTGCTAAAAAGCCAGAAATAATGCTTCTTTAAGTCGTAAGGTTAGAATAGTCCAGACTGTAGTGGCGTGGGACAAACAGCAGGCTAATCTGCATTAAAAGTCCTTGTATTGCAGGGCTAATACAGTACAGCTGGGGAAGTAAGGTGCTGTCAATGTGAGCAGCCATGTAATGGGGGATGGGTCAGTGTGGAAACAATGAGTTCAGAGCAGACCATTTCTTGACTATATGTTGTCGTGCATTTCTCACATTAAATCTATGCCTCAGGTTAAAAGGAAGCACCTATTGGTATTTAGCATGGGTTGGTTAACTCGTGGTTAGTATTTGGTTTTTCGGAAATGGGTAACTTATAAACGGAAATGCCGACATTTTTCACATTTTTGGCATTGCTTCTTTAACCTGGAATCCTTGTCACTTTGCTCTGTTGAGACTCTACATGTACCTTGCTTGGGTTTAGAAACGATGTTGTTGTTGGCAAAAGTACTAAGCAGGTACATATAAAAAACAGCTCATTTGATTGACAAAAAGGTGTGTTGGAAGTGTCAAGTGGTAGGAAGGTTAGTCTTGTATGATGCATCATCGGTGTCACTTTGGTTAATTGGCTGTTGGCAAACTTATCCAATTTAACCAAGGTTAGTTTGCCAAGTTTCTCCTGAGTGTTCAAAACATAGCAGTGAAAGTAATACTAGGGGAAAGTACTTGTATCCACCAGTACAAAACTATCATGTTCCAAGATATGTCTGGCCTGATTAACAATAATGATTGACAGATGTCTGTACCCCCCTCCCAGGGTGTGTCAGCCATCCCAAATCAGTTTACCATACATAGATAAACAGGTGGTCGAAATTTGGGATGGTCCATTGATGATAGTGGGGATGGGGCAGACACAGATTTTCTCCCTCTTCCTGTTGTAGGGTCAATTTCTTTCTACTTGATCTATTTGTTTACTCTCTCGATCAAACAACTCAGTTGAGACTGTTGTGGCTTGGGGCCATGGCTTTACCCTTGGTACTGTCTGCACGAGATTGTGATGACTTGCATGAGAAGAATTTTGTCTACCTACCAGTACCTAGACAGTGTTTAATCAACTCTTATCAAGTAGAAACTTATAATTACAATCAAGGCATATTTGCCATTGTTGTGTAAAGTGGGTAATTACGAAACTGTTCTGTTGGGCCAATTTAACCCCCTAATTGGTCAGTTGTAAGTTACATGTAGAAAGCATTTCTTTGTGTTCTTACTGTTTCTGAACTACCATATTTCAAGCCTTTAGATCATGGTATCAAACAACAGTATGTAGTTCCTGTTCAGATAATTAAGTTTAACGTTAATATTTCTTGTAAATTCTACTTTCCAGGGCTCCATACAGCAGCTGATGATATTTGACGACCCTCTAGTCGGAGCTGTCCAGTGTTCAGTATTCCTGCAGAACTGCAAACAGGATCCTGTGCTAGGGCAAAATCAACTGGTGGGATGTGCAGTTCCTTCCTTTTCTTTGAAACGTTTTGTTTTGTAAAGACTATTGTGATGTTTTTTTTTTTTATGGAGGAAAGCCCACACAAAATGCCAGGTATGATGAGGTTGACATGGTTGGCTTGAACCCACAGTTAAGTGCCAATTATTTAAGTATCAACAGGAAAACAACTGGTTTGCCACAGGGTTCAGTTTAGTCCAAATATAACTTAATCCTGAAAGTAACTGATTATACCTTGTGGAAAAAAATCCCTGCAGGCCCCATTTGCTATAATTCAGTTTTATGGTTTGTATGTTTAACCAGAGGTGTCATTCAGACTGTTATTTTTGGGTAAGACCTTGACTTTCAATGGGCCCTGACCTGGATTCAGCTGAACACAGTTGGTCTTTTGCTAATGATAGATATTATATTTTCAAATTTCATGAAAACTAATAGGTAAAATCAGGTTGTAAAGATTTGGTCCCAATAATCTCTTCATTCAGTATCCATTTCATGTTTGTATTGTGTCCTTAACCTTGGTGAAACAGCTGGAAAATTGGTCCATGTGTGATAAGAGTTGTTTTGACAATGAGAATTCCAATTATATTGATGTCTAAATCCATAGTCCAGATGTGTGTCTAAAGCCATAGTGTCACAATTCATAATGTGTTTTCAACTTTGCTGGGAGGGGCATTATCATGAAAGAAAAAATATATTCATTTTCTTCTTTTCTTCCTGATTTTTTTTGTCTTAAACCAAAAAAAACCTTATCAATGGTATAGTCCTGTTGATCTGATTCTATGAGCTGTAATAAACGTATTTGCCTCAATTTTAATGTCTTGTAACAATTAGTTCCAAAGAAGAAGGCTTACTCACTGTCCCTAGTAGGAGTGGTTTGGATTAGGGCAGGGGAAAAGTTATGGCATCTCACATACCACAGAAAGAGATTATTGAAGTGCATATGCCAAACAGATGGCCCAGCATCTGACAGAAGCATTTTGGAAATTTCACACAACTTTTGTGATATTGTACACCAGAATTTAGAGATTTTTTGTGTGAATGAATGGACATTTCCACATAAGCATGACTGGTTTAAAGGTATGTACATGACCAAAAAAAAGAAATGTCAGCAGAAAAATTAGTAAAGAAGTTTTTACACAGTTACCATTCTGACACAACCTCTCCCTACTATTTGCACATAATGACTTTTTGTACTTTTGCAGGATTCAGAAACAACAGATAACAGAATATCAGGCAGCACAACAAGAAGACCCAGAAAAAAGACAAAGGTAACAGGTGTCTCTTGTCAAAGTCACTGTCGAATCAAAGTCTGTTTCTCTGGCAATTGTCATGAAGGTAGAAAAACAGATGTAGACATTTGACTGTGACCATGCTGAACATATGTGTACTTGTACTTTGAAATAGGACAATCTAACTTGACATATGCATGTAGCTGCTGACATACATTTTGTACTTGTAAGAATACAATATAATACAATACAATACAATACAATACAATGCATGCACATTCTAGTAAGTGGACAGGGAGAGGGTTAAGGCCACACTATCTTGATTTCTTATGAGGACATTGACCCCTCATGCAAATTACAATTGCAAGGTGCTTACGCCCTGCGAGAATCTGTTACAAATTGAGAAATTATTAGATAAGCCTATTTTTAATGTTGTCAAACAGTAGCTTGAAAGCTCATCTGTACATGTATTTGTTGTTGTCCTATACTTTAATAGTTGCCATGAATCTCTTCATTTTCAAAATTCAGGCACTTTGGCCGTCATTCTTAAAATCAAATTTGTGTGACAGACTATGGCTTTAACTTTAAGCTAATATGAAACAGCATTGATAGTTAATCTTCATATCAGTGAACTAGATCTGAGGTTGATCAGTGATTCATCACACTCATTCCATCCAACACACTGCAACATGCACATAACACAAGGCAGCTTTGGAAAAAGCACCTCCAGCCTTTCTAGATCAAGTTTTATTGTTCTAGGGTTTATTGGCTAATCTGTACCATTGCCAGTTCTTGATAAGCAACGGAAGTGGGAAAACTTGTGCTGCCCGTCTGCTTCTCACAACAGGCAAGACGGATAAACTGAAGTGACTTTCCCACTCATGCAAATCAGGGTCAGAGAAAGTCAAAGTTCTAGAAAGTAAAACCTGTTAGTTATGAATCATACCACCTCCCACAACCTCCTTGGTTGGAGGTATGTATGGAGACTTGGCCAATGCTGGGATAGGAATCTGTTACATAGATTGTATTTAGGAAAATTGACCACTTTGGTCCGTGCAGTTCAACATTTTATCTAATATGAGTAATAAAAAAATTGCACGGATAATGAGAAAGAGTTGTACAAGAAAGTTGAGGTCAAAAATGGCAAGAAAAGATCCAATTTCCCTTACACAGCCAATTGATTGACATTAATGATTGACATTGCACAGTTGACCCACTTGGCAAAAGATTATGTAGCACCCACCTGTTCTCATCATTTGCCAACTGTCAACAATGTTCTATTCTCTGCCAAATGTTGGCATCTATTTTACAAGTCATACTTTGCCAAGCAGAGCATTTGTAAGGGCAGTGTCAGACATGTTTCGGAACACGAAGTAGGTAGCATTCACCATAGATGCAACAGGCTGTGGGCAAGGTTAAAACAGATCAACTTATTTATAAGATGTGAGGAAAATTGCCATTGGAATGGAAGCATGCCATTCATTCAATAAAGTTTGTTAAGAATTAGTCACATTTCCCTAAGTATTCATATAGTACCTTGGTACTTGATGCTTGGTCACCTGAGTTGAAAATTTAATGTGATTTTATGGGGAAAATAATTTTGAGTCCTCATCATATGCTGGTAAACCGGTAACATTAAAAATCTGACCATATTGTTCTCTTTTTGATCAGGTGAAATCTGACTACAATTTTATCTCAGGTGCTTCTGCTGCCCAAAGATTGGTAAGATGAGCAAATTTCTTATTACCTATGGTGAATTTTTTCTTGTTGATATGCATTTCTGCCTTCTACCACACTGAAAAGCAAAACAATTTTGTAGATTTGCCATTTGACATGGTTTGCATGAACAACTGTATGAAATGTGCCTGATGTGCATGAAATGTAGAAAGAAAGAAAGAAAACAACCCTTCCATTTTACATACTTGTTTGTTTGTACATTAAACAGTATTGTTTTGTGGTTTTGTTAGTGTATTTAGTAATCTGCATTTTGTAGTTTATTTCTTTATTACCCACCTACATACATGTGCATTTTGTAGTTTGGTTAGTTTCCTACATTCCATTTCATGTCTGTTTCCCTATATGTGCAGCCAGCTGCTAACTCCAAGCTCTCATCTCTCATACTGAAAAATATCACGGTAGGTAGAAAATCTCGTATCACTACATTCCAAGACCTTTGTGTTTTTATTGTTTCACAATTCTTAGTCGTAGTATAATTCCAGAGATAAATGTGTTATCATGATATTCTGTACTGGAGATAGTTTTAATTTTTTTGTACACGATTGTAGAATTGCTTGAGAAATAATAGTACAGGGTACATTATATTGGGGTGGGGAGGAACTGGACTTACTTGAAGACTTTCTTTGCACTCTCAGAAAAGGCCCTACACTTAAATTACTTGGGTCCCTCCTGTCAAAAATGTGTGTGCAAATAAAATTCAACATGACCACACCTTGACTTGGTCAAATACCTTTCTTGCTCTATGGCTTTGCAAGTTATAAACTACAACATGATCAAAAGTATTGCCACCTGGTTAGACCAAGATTCGTGCAACCTTTGCAACCTTTATAAACTTGAGAAAAATGTATGTCAGACATACTGTACTGTGGGTATATATATATATATGTTATGAAGTTGTAAAGTACCAACTGAAGGTGTCAAAATACAAAATGTGTTTTGTGAGTGTGTGATCTGAGAAAGTCATGAAGTAGACTTTGGTTTCATAATCATGCTAAATTCGTGGAATACATTGAAACAACACATTCTGTGACCTACAATTTGAAAGTAAACCCTATGTCATGGTATAATTTTACAACATAGCAGACATATAGTAGAACATTACAATTGTAATGAAAAAGAGAAATACAAAAAAAAAATACACAAGGAGATGTAGATTAAGGGGGCTGTAGTCATGGGTGCGAGTTAAAGTGTGCTAAGTCGTGCTTCGTTCACATTCTAATTAGATCCTTCGTGATCCACCAGGCCCAGGGACAGTCCGAGCCAGGCATCACCTACAGTGCAGCGCAACAAGCCGGACATGTGAGTAGCCTGCAGCATCCGTCATATCATCTATGGGGGCCTGCATACCCTTTTTTATAAGGCGTAATCAGGCCTTTTTAGTCTTCATAATCTGTAGGCAGCCTTCCCAAAAGTCAACGTAATTTGTAATTATAGTACATTACCTGCAAAGTGTAAAGTCGTAATCAGCTCTGAGACTTAAACGTAATTCGTAATCAGGGGCAAAAATGTCGTGTAATTTGTAATCACTCCCCCCCCATGCAGGCCCTCATCTATGCATGATTTGCCAGATATGTGGTAATTTCCTTGCCTCTAGTTATCCAAGTTCCAACTCAGTTGCCTCCAAACATTTATGAGGACCCTGTCTTATCCTTGGATCGACATAGGTGGCCATTGCACAACAGCTATGTGCCAGAAGTTTTAGATGTTCTCCTGTTTGGCAAAACAATGCAAATTTCCAGCCAAGGTTGAGACAGTCTTTCCCCACAAATAACAAGGTTACAGCAACACATTGTTATAAAAATATTGATTGCTAGAGGAGTCTGCAAACATTTGAGTTCACTTGGCAGTAGCCAGTCTGACTTGGCTCCAAAGTCTGGAAAAAGTTCAAACTTTATTCCAAAGCTAGTAGCACTTTATCACATTGTCACAAGGTTGTGACTACTGAATCTACAGGGTATAGTGAACTTAGGGACTGATACAAAACATTGTTTCAATATGGCATCATTTGCTGTTCTTCGAATTGCTGATGTGGATGTCACTTTCCCACAGGATGTGTCAAAACTTGTCATAAAAGAGATAGGAGAAATTGTTGGAGACCCAGTTGGATCTGAGGTAAGTCTTTCCACTGTTGTTGCGAAATAAACCACCTGTTAACATCTACTTTTCCACTGCATATGATAAGGCAGAAGAAGACAGCATAATAGAGTACTTGCAAAATGACTTCCCTCTGTCAGGTGATACTTAAATATGACTTCTAGCCCTTTTAACTGCTGAGACTCTAAAACAGGCTTAATGGTATTGAACAGCAACATTTACTATAAGTTGGTTAGGAAAGCTATCTAGCCTTTCTTAAGCCCATTTATCCTTTTCCTAGTAGGTGTTTGTGTTTTTCGATTCCTGTGTCAGATTGCCTGACTTGACCATGTTTTGGTTCAGCAACTCTGATGCCTGTGAAAAATTTGCCGAGCTGACCCCATCCCAGGCACCAAATAAAACACACATGCAACAGATAACTACAAGTTCAAAGGCGAAGCTCAAACTGACTCGGTTTCAATCAGGCAGTTAAGAAAGTTACAGGTAGTAGGTCCCTTGACTTACAGGTTCAATAATGCAGGAAGAAAGGGGTAAAAGGTTCCATACCAAGAACTAATCACTGCAAATACTCTTGTTAGATGCCTTCTGTGGTGATCACACTTAATTTAAGATACACCTGTTACTGTATACAGCTTCTAATAATTAGCTTGCTTTTGCATTTTTATATATCTCAGCATGTAGCACAATGGTGTGCTTTTTAAAGGAGTGATAGGTTTATTAAGTTACATGCATGTATGTGTACAAAGAAAGAGTTAGTGATGCATGGAGGATGATTTCTTTCTTTTATAGAGTAACGTTGTAAACTCTTTTATAGTTGACCAGTGGTTTTATGTGCAAACACTTTCCCTGAGTGCACAGCTTCATTACAGACACAAGTAAGTTGTTTCACTGAGATTACAAACTCTGAAGGCAGTTTTAAATTCAGTGCTGCCAGTCAGTGTAGTTCCAGACTAAATCCTCTTATCACAAAATTTGATAGCAAACATGTGAAAACAGCCTTCCAGAGTAAGTGATAATCTAGTGAGAGGGCAGTTAACGTGGACAGGTCTGTCACTCAGGAATGCAAGACGAATGATGAAAGTAATTCCACAAATGATGGGTCATGATCAGAAGGATATTGTCATTTCCAACTTATCTATTTAGCCTTAAACCACTCAATTTTTGTTTTCAAGGTATACGGGATACACGTCAAATAATGTCAGTTGAGTTATGGTCTTTAATAGCCATTGAAAATTTCGGAATTGGGTTGTAGCATTTTGTCTTCAGGGCAAAATAGATTGAGCAGTATTGTTATTACTCAGTTTGTATACTTGTGAAGATGAAGAAGGGGGCGTGTTACCTTGTATTGTTCATAGCTCTTTTCATCTTTGAGAAGGCACATTGTAATTGTTGGAATGTAAATTTGGGCCTTGAGGAATTGCCATTCGCATCAGTTACCCAAGGATTACAAGGTGCATTAAAAACTTGATTGAACCTGGAATTAAGTGGGATAACGCAATTTTTGGGGTGTAACTATAAACTATAACCTATCAATGTCCACCAAAATGATTGTAAAATGTTGAAAGGAGCCATTCCAAAAAGCTGCTCTTGGCTTTGAGACAGAAAACAAAGATACAGATCGCTCTGTTACAACCCTGAGGCTTGGAGATGTGCCAAAGTCATGACTGGTAAATAAATTGTTGTTAAGGGCCTGGAGGGAAGGCTAACATAGCCGTGGTCCAGGCTGCTAACAGCCTTTGTCAGAGGGTCATCATGGGTAAGTCCTGTCTCCTGGACAATGTCATTGAGGTTAAAGTGTTCCAGGATTCTACCTACAGGCTATGCGGCCTTTTCTTTACTCCATAACTAGAAGGACGTGGAAAAAAGTTGTTCTAAGTAGTTGAAGCTGTGTACAGAAGGAACTTGTTCAAAATTTACAGGTATGGATGTCAGATTTATTGTATCGTACTGTGTGGGAAACTTGATTAACATTACATGTGCATCTGTTTACATTTTCTAGTTTTACATTATGTATCTTTACATATCTTGATTAAAGACCAGGATATTACAAGATTTTCCAAAGGCTAAGGGAAAAGCAAACATTAAGAAAAGCTTTGGGTTATCAAAGTTCAAGTTCACCTGCAATAATGATGTATCCTGCTACTGAAACCACAGCAAAAGCTAATCTCTGTATCTGTATCTAAGGATGGTGAATCCCTCAGGGCATTGATTAAATCCGAGACAGATGAAGCAAGGACATTCAGAGAAAAATGGCTGTATCAGTTACATAGTCAACTTCGGGTCAAGATTATTCATAAACAAGTGGATCATTGAATGTCTTGGCTGGGCCAGAGCGACACGAGGTCAATGCTGAAGGTCACTGTCTTGACCAGGGTACCTTAAACCCGAGCCTGGTGTCATCCTTCTAAAATGGTCCCTGGCAAAACTTCTTGCAACGATGCCAGAGAATTGTTTATCGGTGTTCCTGCCCTGCTGTATGACGTACATGTACTTATGCGTAGGTGTCTTCTACCTGTTTCTTATCTATAACTGCTGGTGAATGTTTGCGTGTCTTGCATGTTCTTAAGTGCTAATCTAATGCATGTGATGAATGCTAATTTGCCTAGGGAACCTAACAACATTTTATCCAGTGTCAGGCTTCGAAGGTGTTGCTAAGATACTAAGATTGGACTATTTTGGTTCGAGTTATTGTTGGATAAATCAAATAATGAGGACAGAATGATGTGAAATTTGTCGTCAGACAAAGTTGACCACACAGTTAATGCTTTAATTGAACTGGTCTGCTGTTGAAGTGCAGAGTAGGAATTCACTCTTCGATTGTTGGTCTCAGAATTCCATTCTTCTATTGCTGATAATTCTTTTATGATTGGGTCTTGATTGGGGCATAAACATTTTGTTTTAATACAATGTAATTATTTCTTTGTATGTCCAATTGATTGACATCATTGCAGTACAAAACTATTTCACTCTCAATGTCATGTCTCATTACTTTCAGTTCTTTAGAAAGTAATGACTATGTTTCAGTTTTCAGATCTTTTTTAAGGTACAGTGCACTGGTTATGATACCTGTTGATCTGATGCGCATATGTCTGAAGTTAGACTTAGGGCTATGAAGAGAAAATTTGTGATCATTCCTTCCAATTCTAGACTGACCATGTTTTCACATAGCTCTGAGCTCAGGTCAGTTTCCAAGTAGCTCCAGGCATCAGACTTAAAAACTTGCAGGCTTTGGATCAGGGACCATGTAATTATTCCCATGTGATGATAATTTTTAAAAGCTTAAGTTCTAATCTCACTATAATGAAACAATTTTTTGTGGGTCAACATATGAAGTCAATAATAAGATTAAAGTAAAATGTTCTGAATGCCCATCCTCCCTCTATGTCATGAATGAATGGACAAACTTTATCCCACAATTGTACAAGGTACAAAATTTGGTTAATAATTTTTGGTAGCTGTAAATTTTCCAGGCCAACTGATGTTTAGGCCACACCAATCAATTCTATCTTGCAAAAACAAAAAAGATTCAGGTTCTGAATCAACTCCAGATTGACGTATGTTGACGTCATGGCCCCTATCGTAGATTTTGGGGCTATCAGAGGATGCCTAGGTTTGTTTTAACTTTTTTTCATTGTCGACCCATATTTTTTCTGAAAAAACAACAACAACAACAACAAGAAATCAAATCGGTGTGGCCTAATCCTACTTTTAAATGTTGTAATGTACATTTCTCTCCCAAGTCCCCAGGATGGGATCTGCAGCAGAACTACACACTGGACACGAACACGACCTCAGGTGACGTCCCCGGCGGAGCGCTCTACAACCTTCTGAACCAAACAACACGAAACATAGTCACAAGGACTCGCAACGGTACCACGAGTATACCAGGTAGTATTCCGTCTGTTACGTTTGAAACTAACCCTGACGTAGAGGAGGGAGTAGGTGTGTTTGACACAGAAGGGGATCCGACGGACGGACATGTTTCGATTTTCGAGGAACAAGTAGCACCTCCGCCTCAGTTCCCAGCAGGCCAGGTCGACTTGGACCCTGGAAATGGAGACAGTGTTCTCTTGGCTCCAGGAACTGGAGAGGGCGTGGTATCGGTTGGCAGTTTCCCAGCTGGCCAGGTACCAGTAGTTGATGATGAGACGGTTGTATCTGCTGTAGAAGTAGAGTCAAATGGCAGTGTCATAGAGAGCAGTATTCCCTTTACTCCAGGTGAGGTAGCACAGCCGCAGCCGCCGTCAGTTGTCACGGGCGGCGCCTCCAGCGAACCGGTAGACATCGATGGCGGATTCAGAGTCTTACCGAATGGCACCATTGTTGGATACGGTTTCGTAGAACCCAATGGCTACCTGGTGGACGCAGAAGGAAGCAGAGTCATTGGACCAGACGGCAATCCCATCCCGGTACCAATCGAAGGCCCAGAAGGACAGCCGCAGCCCCCTGCAGTTATCACCGGCGGCGCCTCTGGTGAACCGGTCGACATCAACGGTGGCTTCAGTGTCTTACCAAACGGAACCCTCGTCGGGAACGGGTACGTAAATCCTAATGGTTTTCTGGTGGAGGGGGATGGCAGCCGAGTCGTGGGACCGGACGGGAATCCCATCGCAGTACCGGTGGAAGGACCCGACGGACAGCCCTACAGACCAGAGGAGTATCCAATGGTCATAGGACCGGACGGAGGCCCTGTGATCGGTCCGGATGGCTACCCTCTCATACATCCCGTCGATCCAACAGGTCAAGTCGGCCCAGACGGGTATCCAGTTGGACCAGACGGGTATCCAGTTGGACCGGACGGATATCCAGTTGGGCCAGACGGGTATCCAGTTGGACCGGACGGGTATCCAGTTGGACCAGATGGATATCCAGTTGGACCGGACGCCTCTCTTGTTGGTCCGGATGGTTATCCATTATACCCCACACAGGTTGGCGTGCCGCCGGTGGTGCCTAGCTACCCCGGTGGCATGCCTGCTCCAGGTGCTCACGGGTACGGTGGCAGGGCTGACCCGCCGGGGTTTGTGGCACCAGGCCCAGGAGCAGGACCCAGGATCCCACCAGGAGCCAGGCCAGGGGTGAGTAGCATGGTAAAACAAAGGGAGAAGAAGCAAAACTTATAATGGGTGTGTTTACTTATACTTATGTTTTTAAAGGGAAAAAGTTGCACTTGAAGGATTGGAAGGAAATTGTATTGTACATTGTGTAAGTGAGAAAAACTGAATGGAAAGAAACTTTTACATCAAATAGATTACATATATGTCTAACATTGAGTACATGTACAATGTATATGATGTTTGACATACAACTAAGATGTCTTTCACTAAAGCCCAAAAAACTTGACATTCTGTTGGCAGCTCTCCAGAGAAGAGTACATCTCACTGTTGGAGGGAAGCTGGGTACCGGTCAGTAGGGCTTCAACTTAATATTATCTGTTTCAATATGTGTGACTGCATATGGGTAGATTTCTGTAGACTTCGCTAGATATCCAATGATGCCAATCGATAAATCATGATAATGCAAACTGATCATTTGCAACAGTTGCTTTGTGTTCAAGGTATTTGTGTAGTGTTTGCTGGTATTACATGTAGTATCTAACCATACCCTGTAGTATACATTTGTGCATACTACTACTAATACGTGACATCTGTTTCATCTACAAAATTAATGCCAAATGACACACATGTACCATATGTTGTATTTATGACAGAGATCACTAAAAACACTTGTGCTCAGACATACATGTGAAGTGTGTTAATAAAGTACTAAGTAGTATTTGTACTAAATACTAATGGGTATGTTAGAGTTTGTTTTGCAGATAGCCCAGTGATGATGAGCATGATAGCAGTGATTTCAGATGAAGACTATGATACTCACAATACTGTATTAGATTCTGTTTTCCACTTCATCCATAAGTTAACTTAATATTGGCCTAAAATCACATACTGAAAGGTTAAGGGAATAGATTCAGTTTTTGTATGATTGTACAAGTCATGTATCTCTAACTCCAACGTAACTATTAGCTGTCTTTTCTTGAATGTTACTTTTAACAACCAACTAACTAGGAGTTACTTTGTTGCAAAGTTTTGAAATTATGATGTTTCTGTTGTTTGACTTGTTTGTTTCCTTGATGTACATGTCCAGGGTCCTCGGGGGATGCCAGGAGAACCAGGGCCACAGGGACTGAGAGGAGTCAGGGTAAGTAAGATGACATAGCAACTGCCTGCCATACATGATAGACCTTAGGCATATCCAGATATCTTTGTACTCCATATGAACTTCAAAGAGGGACTTGTCTGGTCAGTCCTACTTCAATGATCTTGTTTGGCTATTGATAAGGTGCTGCAATAACTTGATATTCAAATTACAAAACATTATACGAATATAAGAAGTTCAACATAAGTACATCAAGGTTTGCAGCAAAAAATGATGTGGTAGTCTAAAGAGTTATTTTTTGCTATCCCCAGGGTCCACGAGGACAACGTGGAAGGCAGGGAGAGAGGGGACCTCCCGGACCTCCGGTGGGTTTTAGGTCAACAAGTTTACATGGACAAAATGACACTTTTCATGCACTATTCACTGACTATTATACTTTCCCTGTGATATAAATTTGATACATGTAGTTTGAGGTGAACCCAAGCTTTTGAGTGGGGCCACCAACTAGGTGAAATAAAAGTCCAGACAGATAAACAAACAACCAACCAATATGCAAGAAATATGGAATATAACAGAAAGAAATATTTTATGTATTTCACAGGGCCCACAGGGCATGATGGGTGCAGGAGGCATTTCAGGGAGACCAGGGAGGAAGGGACCTGCTGGCAAACGTGGGTCACCTGGTGACCCGGGAGAGAGAGGGCAGGAGGTGGGCAACATCAGTGCATGTTGGATCCTGGTAGACCACGGAACTGTATATCTCAAACTGTTGGTACAGGCTTGGGCAGAGATGCATGATATACATGTATTTAATAAGTCACAGGTGGTTTACATCTTGTAAAATATGTGTATATTGTTAGTAAAACTTGCTGAGTATTGTGAATGTGCTTTGTGATGATGAAAAAGATCTACACACGCCATCATGACCCTGGGCACAAAGTAAAGTTTGGAAGATCCTGACTGACTGTACAAAAGTCAACTGTGGACTTTGGACAAAAGTTATATCTTTAAAATTAATAAGAACTAACGTTATGGCCTAGACCAAATTAACCCATCATGTCTGTGCCCATAGGGTAAGGATGGAGACCGTGGAAACATGGGACTACCTGGAATGCCAGGGAATCAGGTATGTGCTGGTAGAGATTCTGGAACCTGAACACAGAACTTTAAACTTAACAAATGTAGATCACAAATGTTGATTGCACAAAGATTGACGAACAGACAGTATTATGTCTATGCATTCTGTATTGATTAGAATTGTCATATTGTTATGACTGTCTCATGTGGAACTGTCTCTGTTTCAGGGTTTTAGTGGGAAGCCAGGGAGACCAGGAATACCAGGGGCACCTGGACCCAAGGTGAAACTTTAAACAAAATTTACACATACTTACCTAACCTGTGATCAAAGTTGTACTGAGCTGCTATGCCCATCCTTTTTTGTAGACATTATAACATATTTAATATCTCTCTTTTATAATCCTAAGGGAGACAAAGGTATCCCAGGTATGGATGGACCATCGGGACTTCCGGTAAGGAGCTACTAAGTTTTTTTCTTTACTATGGCCTTTGATTAAACCCTTCTGTAGTTAAGGTCACATGTACAGTCTGCAACATATAACATACTGAAAATAAATACCAATGCAATTCAGAATTTTGTAAGTCTTCAATGTGGTAGCCTGGGTACCATCCGGATTTTTGCTCCGCAACGTTGTGCAGCGAAAATCCGGATGGTACCCAGGCTATGAATGTGGTATCATTGATAAAGACTTCAAGACATGTAAGAAATTTGTACATCAGTTTACACATGGTTCCCTTCGTCTTCCCCCCAGGGTGAGCAAGGTGATCCAGGAGACAGAGGACCAAGAGGAAATGAAGGACCTCCAGTAAGAAAACTGGTTGCTTTATCCTTAAACAACAAAAGTATACGACAAAAGCACAGTGTTGCTTCTTTTGTTAATGAGTATATAGTACTTCCATGTGCAGAAATGATACATATTGGTTGAGAACTGAAGCTACACTAGCCAATATTGCATCTAAAGACTTGGCAGCTTTCTTGGTATGAAAGTAGATAAACGCCCAGGACTGCAGGACAACATTAAACATCCAATTCTATAGAATAGCATGGCCACCAGTATAAGACTACCATTTTTTTTCCTGTTGCTCTACAGGGTTCTGCTGGACAACAGGGTTTACCTGGACCAGCTGGACCAGGGGTAAGGCATCATTATATCATCTTTGTTTGTTTGTTTGTTTAAACCTAATCTTTATATAGCAGGGACTAGTAAATGTCAGTAAACAACTGCTATACAAATAAAACACACCGATTTCCTAGTTTTAGAAATGACAAGATTGGATTAAGTCGATGCGACATATTGTGGTGTATGAAGAGAAACATCTGGATGTGTTTTGGAAGGACATACATTGTGAAAATCTGTTGACCTGGAAAGTAATATTGCAGTTGTGCTTAAAGCAAAAGTCTGGATGTTCAGTGCATGATCCTCTCTTGGTATGTGTTATATCCCATTTAGGGTCCAAGAGGGCTGCCAGGAGCAGCTGGCAAGGAGGGGAAGAAGGGACCGAAGGTCTGGATATGCATCTCTTTTGCAGTATTGATTTAATATGTGTTTTCATATCTTACAGACTTTGCATGCTCAGTTTTAGATCTGCTTGGAATGTAGGTGATAGTTAAACCTATGTGGGAAGGACAATGGAAGGCATTTCAGCACCTAAAATGTGGCCAGTTTGCATTTTCGGCAAAAGTTAATATTGGTAAGACAAATTTGTATTACATTGGTTACAGTTATTTTCAATGACCTGCTCTTAGAAATTTTACAATATAAACATCTGTTTAGCTCAAGCTACAAAATTAATACTGTAGTTGCCAAGTGTACACTTTATCTAGTATGTAGTGTTAGTGCTATGAAGGTAGTTTGGTTGTTTCTTCATCAGAGGAAGGTTTTTCAGCACCAAGGAGAGTGACCATGACTGACTGTTTTATCCCTGTGTTGCTGTGTAGGGAGACAGAGGACCATCAGGTCTTGCTGGCATCAGAGGCAGAACAGTAAGTGTTGTGGTCCTTATTGTTGTCTTATGATAATTATGGTAAAACTATGATATGATATATAATATGGTATTCCACATGTACCAACACAGTTGAGCAGAAGTGTGGCTTTAAGCTATAATCTCCAGGGGATGCAAACTTAGGCCTCTTGTATGCATTCCTCATCATCATCATCATCAGAAGAAGAAGGATAAGAATAAGATTACTAATCTGTTTTTCATATAAGAAGGATACAAAAAATTGCACGCAAAGTATTTATTATACAATAATATATTGATACTGTTTACCATGTACCATACTTGCTACAATAAACAAACTTATCAAAAAGAAACAGAAGCAGAAAAACTAGTGCTGTTGATTGTGAAATATTAGATTATTACACAGACAGTTGTGGCGAGCTAACTTTGTATGCTCCACCTCTACGGAGGATGAATGATGATGATGATGAGATTATACAGATGTGAGTTCCCGTGATTTTATATTCTCTGTAGGGTACACAAGGCCCGCCGGGGAGGAGTGGACCAAGAGGCATCATAGGCAAGGCGGTAATTACTTAATGTGTATCCAAATGTCCTGCATGAAACCTGTACTCACATGTTGATGTCTATTTCATTGCTAATCCTGGTAGAGATGCTAAGTTCATATGTATGTATGATTGTATGAAATATGTGGTCATCATGATCACCTTATCAGTTATAAGCTGCCTAGTGCCCACATTGTATTCATTATTTGTCTTGCTGCAATGTACTAAGTTAAACTTTTTTTTACAATGATGTGACTACATTGAATTTATCTGCTGGTTGTTGTCTGGAGATATTCTTTAATGCACCAGTCTTATGTACATGTAGCAGAGGGACTGTACAAGTAGCTGCATGTAGATTTTAAAGTTAAGCCTAAATCAATGAAATTCTACCATGTTTCTGGTGTACCTAGAGTACGAATATTCAAAGCTAATCTTCTTTTCTTCTAGGGTATTCCTGGACATCCTGGTTTAAAAGGAGAACAAGGAGAAAGAGTAAGATTGGTTACTTCCCTTTGATACCCCGTTAAACCTTGATAATGGAATTACATATAGATTCCTCATCACTTGGATATAGTAAAAATTTGTGTTCATGTATGCCTGATAATTGAAACGGATGGTATTAGTGTTTCATCCAATTAGTTTAGATTTATGACTAACCACATGTAGTTCAAACTTTAAAGTTCAAACTTTAACATTTTCTCCTATTTAGGGACCAGAGGGACCAATTGGACATAGAGGACCTGCTGGAAAAACAGGACAAAAGGTAGGTAGATGGAGAATAAGATAGATATGTTTTGACAACACAAATACTGATACATGTGCATGTACATATATGACTGTTAGCTTTTGTTATCAGAAACATAGTGGGTTGTATCAATACTTCTGGCTAAGAGTGAAATTAACTGTTCATTCCAGGGAGCAGCTGGAAGAGGAGGGAAGAAAGGAAAGCCTGGTGATCCAGTAAGTATGTTACTGTAGTAATAACAGTCTGTTAACTTTTTTGTAATGTTTTGATTCACTTGTAATTTGCCAGAAAACTTGGGTGATTATCTTACGTTCTTGTTATTTTTCTCCACAGGGTTTCATGGGCCATGCAGGCTTCAAAGGCAATGCTGGTCCAAAGGGAGACAAGGTAAAGTATCCTTCACCAGTATCTTTGTTTTCAGCATTCCTCATTACAATCAACACAATCTGACTATGACCATGTGGAAGTTCTGCTCCTTCTAGCAATATACACTTGCAATCAGTATTAAAGAAAGAACCATAGGCCTATGCTGAAAGATGACAGTGAATGTTTATCAACTAACTAACATGTTTTGTTCTTTGCAGGGAGCCTTAGGACCAACTGGGAAGCCTGGTCCTCCGGGCTATGAAGGAGAAGTTGGGGAGGCGGGTCTGACAGGTGCTCACGGGGAGATCGGTCTGAAGGGAGATCCGGTAGGTTGGAGTTTTCTTGCGGTTTGATTTAAATAAAGAAAAGTGATTTGCTGGAAAGTTAAAAAGTGTTAGATGGAAAAGTCACAGATGTAGAGATATTGTTGCATGTACAGGAATGAAAATATGGCTGGAACAAAAGTTGTATAACTCACTTTAAGAAAAAAATGTCACTGTACAGGGTTTTGTGCAAGACGTACTAATATATACCAGTTAACTACTGTTAATGTATTGCTTTTGCATTGCAGGGGCAACAAGGAACACCTGGTATCCCTGGGAACATCGGCAGGCCAGGCCAAAAGGTACATCACCTGTCACCATACAAGTAGAACAGAAAATGATATAATGTTCTATGTATACAATAGAATTATAATATCTGCTCTACAATAATAAAGATGATCAAAGTGGGTGATGTACAAAGTACATTTCAGTCTGCACATGTACATTCCCATCCAAGTTAAAAGCCTGAATGATACATAATGGCAGGTATTCACTATTTCAGGGTAAAGATGGTGGCAGAGGACCACGTGGACCTAGAGGTCTTGGAGGCAAGAAGGTAGGTAACTGTAACTAACACCAGCATAACCAGCTACAAAGACATGAAATACTGGCAGGTCATGTACCTGCCTAGTATGTGCTGGAATCTTTTACTCAGAATGTTACAAACCAAACTGTATTTGTGCAGTTATGAACCAAACTGTATTGAATGTATAAAATGCTGTACCAGCATGTTCCTGGTCTCTGAGTAAACAGGGTAGCCTTTATTTGTCTCCAGTTGTTGCTGTCTGACACCACATTTCTGTTGCCTAATCTTGCAGGGAGCAGATGGCATGCAGGGACATGAGGGTCTACCAGGTCCAAGGGTAAGATGAATGACCAGCTGCCAACTTCCATTTAAACCCTTCAAAGAGTTCAAGTCCTTCCTACATCATAATATACACTGATAGTGGTAGAAGAGTAATATTCTAATAGATGTGTTTGTTTATGATGCCTATTTTCTGTAGGGCCCTCCTGGACCACGGGGAGGAGAGGGACCACCAGGACTGCCGGGGCCTAAGGTTGAGTAGTCTTGTTTTTTTGTAAAAAAAGTAGTTAGTTCAAAGAAATATCTTGAGTCAGAGTTTACCATTATAGGCCACATCTTGCTTCACAAACCTCCTTCCATGTGATACAAATATCTGCAGAAGAAAATATTTTTTTGTCATAATCTAATGTTTCTGTTATTATTCTAAAGGGGCAACAAGGTCCTCCTGGTCCACCGGGAGATGACGGACTAAAGGTATGTTTTCCCCTTCTATCTTCTGTGTGAGTTAACATAATGTTTATTGCATATTGCACCTTTCAAGGTATCAATGAAAGACTTTAGATACTTCTTAGAAGTATTCATTTTACATTATAAACACATTACTAAGTTCTGGCATGTTCTTCTACTGCATATATCGATCAGTATAACCATAGATTGCATATTGGTGTGCAGAGTTTATAACTCTTCCCAGGCTGTGTTTCAGATTTCTCAATCAATACATGTTTTTTTTTTTTCAGGGAGAGCCAGGAGACAGAGGAGATGATGGTCCACAGGGCCAGGTTGGAGGCATTGTAAGTCTCCCCATGTACAACAAGTACAGCTAGGGTTTCATAACCATATGTCACTGACTTAAGTTGATCTCTATGTGTGAAGTATGTGTCTAGCTTAATGTTGTGATTCTTGTCCTGACAGGGTCCACATGGTAAAGATGGCAAGTATGGACCAAGAGGGCCTGCAGGGCCTGTGGTGAGTAGGAAATAGGAACTTGAATTCTTGTATTTTTCCTGTACATGTGCAGAAAAGTAAGACTGTCATTGGTGATTTCATTTCTGTTTCCACGTGTAACACATCATTTTCGCACAAAGTATCCAAAAGGATTTTCTAGTAGGACCTAACTGTTGGTGTATCACTCCAGACTCATGTATTATGAAGCAATATAGAGTTCATACTATGTTTCTTGTGGATATGTTTACTTAATGATCTTTTAAGCCATTGAAATATCTACAACACAATGTTGTTTTCAGGGGTTTCCTGGTAGGGTAGGCCCTCCAGGTTTACCAGGGCCTAGAGGACCCATTGTGAGTTTCTATAACTTTTACATTAGATTTATTGATATATGTAATATGATATTTCGTTGTCGTGCTATATATGGAATGTACATTTGATGAGATTTGTCTCCAATCCAAAATTATGTTATCTTTCATAAAAGAGTGGAAAGTTTATGTGTTGAATTTTTGTAGGGCATTCCAGGCTGGCCTGGGGAGATAGGCAAGATGGGAACACAGGGTCCTCCTGTAAGTTTGACCCCTTGTAAAATCAGTAGTTCAGGTAGTATATTGGTAGACAAAGGGTTTGTACTTAGTGCAGTGTTTCAATCTATAGTTCTGAAGAAGAGAAAAACATGTTTATGAATGTTTTGTAGACTGCGCATGATCAGTGCTTTTGTTCCTCTCCTTGGTGCTGAAACGCCATCAAACAACATTTGTGAGACTGAGCTTTTACTTTTTTGTCATTTTCAGGGCCGCACTGGCCCCAAGGGTAAAGATGGAAGAATAGGACAAGGAGGCTTACCTGTGAGAACCTAGACTCTGCTTTTTTCTTTCATGTATTCATTTTAATGACATTTTCATTCTCCTGACTTACATGATCTGGATAACCTAATGATATGAAGAAACAAGGCATCATAAACATAGCAATAGCAAATGAATTAGGATTACTATCAACTTGAGTGGTCTTCCCTCTATCACTAAGATATAAACCTGTTCTTCCCTAGGGTGCCAGAGGTGTCCCCGGATGGCCAGGTTTACCTGGTCCTTCAGTACGTACATTAATTATATTACAAAGCCAGCTTGGAGACATGCCTGTTACTATTTTTCCTCAGTTTTGTTCTGAGGCCACACCAAGTAAATTTTATGGATGACGTCCCTTGGAGACCCTAAATCTAATGCGAGAGGGCGAAAAAAAAAACAAGTAGGGCCCTAAAAACAAGATGCCTAGATTAGAAATATACTAAGAGACAACAAATGTTAGGGCACAAATTGAATGAGGTGACACAGTGTAACAAGCAAGAAGTCTTTTATTCATCATCAAAACAGCAATAAATCAAGTGGAACAGTAGACAGTGAAAAATGTTATAATATTGACAGGATGGTAATAGACACTTTCTTCGCGTTACAGGTTTCACGTCAATCTGACGATTTGCGGCACTGTCGTGACTCTTTGGTCATAGTTACAGGAAGCGGAATTTCTTGTTTTTTTTTCTAGGAACATGCTAAAATCAATGCGCGCGCGGACGTCATCCATAAAATTTACTTGGTGTGGCCTGATATATTATTACATAGCCTTGCTTTGCTATAACAATAATTTTGACACACATATAAGGGACAGTATTTATAATGTTACTGTTTGCTACATTTTGCTTGTATACAGTTAAACATGTCATTTTCAGCATAGCAAAAGTAATGTAGCAGCAGTCATGTTAAGTGTATTCTGTTGGAGTATTCTTATGTTGATAACCTTTTTCAGGGAGAGAGAGGTGAACTTGGACTCGATGGACTCCTTGGCCCACCAGTAAGTATGGGTTTTCCAAATATTTTCTCATTTTCAGGCGTAGTGGTATTGATTGGCTTTCAAAAATGATGATATTGTGTGTACATTTATTAAAAAGGAAGCGGTTTTCATGCCAAATCACATTTCTCCATACAAATGTATACCAAGTCTCTGGTTCATGTAAAATGTAAGAATTGAGTGGACACACGACACAGAAAGAGGTTGAGGTATTTCAAGACCAAAACAATTAAAGTTTTGCTGACATGTGTCTCTTATGCACCATGAGCTGCCTTGGCAAGTCTGTGAACTTGTTCTTTGCCTCATCACAGGGACCCAGAGGAGTGGATGGTCCCCAGGGACCCCCTGGGAAACCAGGACCTAATGTAAGTATTCTAATTTTTGCTTCCATTGCATTTAAGTCTCACAAGTTGTGTAGCAGCTGTTTTTTGAAGAAGGCCTTTAACACTTGTGTTGTATGTCTGAATTTTCTGCAGGGTATCCCAGGTATACCAGGTGACCAAGGAACAGCTGGACCAGAGGGACCTGAAGTAAGTCTTAATCACCTGTAACTAAATGTGTAAAATTGTTCAGTCTGAATGAGCCACTGTTTGGTTGAGTTTTCCAGATATTTGTGAAGCAGTATCTGTTAGTTCTCTTTCGTAATGTTCTGCATAGAAGTTGATGGATCTAGATTTTGCTGTCTTATGTATTATCAGATTTCAATGTATTCAGCCATATATTGTTTATTGTTTAAGTGGGTCTCAATCTGAATCTGTACAGGGAGAGAAAGGGAAAATCGGTCCTGAAGGTCCACAGGGTCTGAAGGGAGACCAGGGAGACCCAGGTGACTATGGCCCACCAGGTGCACCGGGGAGAGTTGGACAACAGGTAGACATTCCTGTTCTGCAATATTTAGAGATACATCAGATTTTCCCCAAGACCTATAAGTTGAAAATTCTTATGAGATAGATGATTCCTACTGACAGCAATATTATTATATAATAATTACAGTTTATCAATAATGAAGTGGATGTATTCCTGCCATGTTTTGCATTAGTAAAGAAAGAGTGGGTTGGTGCCCTTGATTTATGGTTCCAGTTGTTGCTGTAATGTCAGTTCCCTTTTTGTGTTCCCACAGGGTATATACGGGGCTCCTGGCCCCCTTGGATTCCCAGGGAAGAAAGGAGAAACGGTAGGCTCACTAACACATTATTATCATCAATGCTGCCAAAGATGTTGATTTGTATACATTCTAAGAAGATGATATGAGTTTTTATATCAGCCTCCAAGGCTCTTAAGAACTTTGACTGTGTTGTAGGGCCTCCAAGGAATTGTGGGACCTCCGGGGCCTGCAGGGGACAGAGGCTCAGGAGGAGATCTTGGCAAACCTGGTCCTCCTGGACCTAAAGGCAGTCAGGGGCCAGATGTGAGTAGTGCCCTGGACATGTTGTACACTACGTCAACTTTGTAGATTGCAGATGAATAGTGATTTTGTTCCTCTCCTTGGTGCTGAAATGCCATCTGACAACATCTGTGAGATTAAACTAGATTTTCACATCTAGTCTGACATTGAGTTTGTAAACCAGACTACTTTGTCATATATATAGACAACTAAAAGGCAAACAAATGGTACAACTACACAATAACTATTATAGATAAGTACTTATAAAAACAGATCTGCAGATCTGAGATGTACCCTGGTTAAAAACTTGAAACTTGAGGTCAATGTGTTACAATGTAATATTATGGAGTTTTCTTCTTTCAATCCTAGCTCTTAAGATGACAGCACATGTATTTGGAATTCCTTGACTATGTTATGCTGTATTTGAACCAATGAGTGAATGGATATAAGTGTTTTTACTTGTTCACTGCAGGGTCCCGCAGGTCCACCTGGACAGCAGGGAGACCCAGGCATATACGGTGTAGCGGTGAGTTTTTGTGTACATTAACTATTACTAGTATAAGGACTGAGCAACATTAAATCATTATTGTTATCAGTGAGATCCTCTCATCTCTTTAAAATGTTGTCTTGTCATGCTTGCAGGGAGATGATGGACCAAGAGGGCCTGATGGGGAAAGGGGACCTCCAGGATTACCTGTAAGCTCTTAATGATTATGTTGCTTTTGTTGGTAAGTCATTTAATACTGATACATTGAAAGAATAGTTTTGTATCTTCAGGAAAAATGGACACTGGTCCGGAATAATCTATTCTGAAACAAAAGCAAAATTATATTTAACAAACATCAACACAAAAGATTAACAATGTTGCTCTAACAACATATTTTGTTTAAGTGGTCACTTAAGAAGAACATATTTTATAGGGAGTTCCTGGAGTTGATGGTGAGCTTGGAGAGCCAGGTGAAGAAGGAGCAAGGGTGAGTTTGTTAATTCAAATGTTTTATTTCTTTTCTTTAAGTATGATAAGTTATGATGTTAACTTTTGATGACATTAATCTATGAGAAACATAATTTATATATCTATCACACAGAGTGTATTGTGATTTCTTAGCATACACTCAGGTAACATCTTGCTGAATGCAGCCTTATCTGTTTGCTAACCTTCACCATTCCTACAGGGTCCAAGAGGTCCTGAGGGAGATCAAGGCAAGGCAGGAGAACCAGGACCATTCGTAAGCCTTGGATTTAATCTTTTTACAATAGAGTCCAACAGATAAGATTTGTTCATATCACCTGATTTTTCTAATCCACAGTAGAATTTGATAGCTCATACCCACGTAGGACCTAGTTTGTTTTCCTTTGTTCCTTGTACATTTGTACCATGATACAATTTTTCCTTCATGTAGGGTGAGCCAGGCCCAGAGGGGTACAAGGGTAGACAAGGGGCACCTGGACCACCGGTAAGTACACTATGTACTAGTACTTAGTGCCATCGGAGTTAGTGTTTACAGTTACCATAATGAATTTATCAGTGTATTTCTTATCATATGTCTATGTTATGACATTTCTTCTCTTACTTTTACAGGGAGAACCCGGGGATGCGGGTATGATAGGAGAGGAGGGGCCACCTGGACCACCGGTAGGCAGAACTCATTTTTAGCTATGTAGATTAGATTTCAGCACACTAGTAAGAACTTCAGTACCATGGACAGCACCATGATAGAATTACACATGGATTCTGCTTGTAGTATTTTTAATGTTGTATCTGCTTTTATGAGACATTTAATCATATCTCGACCCAGCCTGATCCATCGATTTTGATGCTCGGTTGTGTATATATATGTTACTTTTGATTATTGTGTTTACTGTTGTTGGTGTTTATGTCTATCTGTACAGGGCACGCCTGTAAAGCAGTATATTGTACTGAGTGCGTCTACCCTGTATAAAGAAGACAGAAATAAATAAATAAGTAAATATTTTTTTCTCTGTTTAATCTTGTCCCAGGGTCCCCCAGGAGCACATGGATCTCAGGGTGATCCAGGCATGACAGGACCCCCGGTACAATTACCATTCTATTCTGTTTTATTTTCATGGATAGAAGGTATCCCATGGAAATCAATACATCGTACCTTTTCTAAGAGTCTGTCCACATCATTTAATGTAAAAATTTGTCAAGTTATTTGACAATAGTCTCTCAGTTGATAATTTGAGGCAATACAGTTGTCTAGCTTGCCAATGTGTTACTTCCGAGGGAAAACAGGAAATCATCAAATTGTTCATTAGATGTTTTTATCTTGCTTATTGCAGGGAAAACAAGGGCCTGAAGGGACAGAGGGACAAGATGGACAGAGAGGACCACCGGTAACATTTCACTTCTGTACACTTGTTTCAAATACATTGTAATGCTGATCAAATTTAACTATTCCATTTTTTCATACTGGTTTTGCAGGCTAGTAAAGTTGCAGGCTATAAATTGAGACAGTTTACAGATATGTTCTACTTCTAGACAGGCTTGTTTTCAAAGTTTCCGATTCATTACTGTATGCTGGATAGCATTGGTGATAAATGTTCAATCTAATCAGACAATCATGATAAAGGAAGTAAGGAAATGCACAGAATTAGTAGTACCTACTGATTGTACTTTTGTATACCTACAGGGTCCCAGAGGAGATCCCGGAGAGCCAGGGGACATAGGACCACCAGGTGACATCGTAAGTACTGACTTTTACTTCTCTGAAATGTTGTTTCCATTTCCAACACAGCCCCCCCCCAAAAAAAAATTATACAATATCCAAAGATAGCACAATCATGACATTATAGCAAGGAAAAGTAACAGTTGTGTTTTAGTCTTCAAGGATCTGACCTTAATTAATGTTGTCCAGGACTAGTTCAGCACCAAGGACAGACCTTATGTTGTCACTTGGTGAAATGTTGACCCAATTTTTTTTTTTAGTTATGCTAGGCTTGATATGATTAGCTGAGCAACGCCTTTATCAACCAAAGCTTGCTTTCTACTCTATTACTTTGAAAACAATGATAATGTTTTGTGTTTCAGGGAGTGAACGGAAACCCAGGACCAGCTGGCCCTGCAGGATCACCAGGAAAAGCTGTAAGTAGTTTACAGTTCTGATATTTACGATGATGTTCGATATTTTAGAGTAGACTTGAAAACCTATTCTTTCTGTATTCCTAAAATCACAGTGTACATACATTGATCACAAAATCACAAGCTGGACAATTGAATTTTATACATGTACATGTAGCTTCTTATTTCTACTATAGAGCTGTTAAACAGTTGTAAGGGTCTTACATGAGTATTAAGATTGAGTGATTTTATTTCTTTTCAGGGACCAGTGGGAGAGAAGGGCCCACCTGGACTGAAAGGAGACCCAGGACCCAGAGTAAGTCTAGCGGGGTGAAAGGAAATATAACGTTACAGATCTCTGGTTCTTCTTAAAACAATATACTTGTAATGGTAAACACTTTGAACAACAGTCTGAGTGTGAAATTGTGTAAATGACTTGATTTTCCTAAATGTGATACTGACTTACATGGAATATCTAAACATGGATAAAATTAAGGATGTCAAGTTTTAAGCAGTTTATTTTGATATTTGTGTAAATATGGGATGAAATGGAATACAGAAGTCATATTCAATCTTATATGGCTTGTTATAGAGTGGATGCAAAGTTTCCTCATGTTTGTTTCCATTACCAGGGCAAAACTGGTGTGAATGGTGTGCAGGGACCAGTAGGTGTGCCTGGGATGAAGGTTTGTACTCAGATGTCACATTAGAGTGCTTCACATGAACATCTTGTTTCACAGGAAGAGTTATTTTACTAACAATGTTAGAGGTCATTAAATTTTCTCTTTGTTCAATTGGTAATTAGATGAAAAGACATTTTCTACTTTGAAAATTTGTTTATATGTTCAGTCTTAGATTCAAGATCTACATGTGACGTTACATGTATGTGAATTGTTTTGTTAGATGATGTACTTGTGTTTCAGGGTGAAGATGGTTTTCCAGGCACTCAAGGTTCACCTGGACAACCAGGAGGAAAGGTACATCCGAATTTCATTAGATTTAGATGTCTCAGTGAGGAAACCAAAAATTTGTCTGTCAATGACTGATGAAAGTAAATGATAAATTTGATAATGATAATGATGATAAATTTGATCCAATATGTTATTGATCCAATGGCCATTTTGCTGGTTTGTAAAAGTTTAAGGTAACATGTGCCAAGTTCCTTAACTAATAAGCAATATATGTTGAATACTGTGCTTGGATTCAACATTTCTTCAGATACATTTAATTTTACGTATGATTGCCATTGAGATGATCTAAACTGTATAAACATCATATTATCTTGATATTTTGTGGTGCGACTTTGTTTTGTTTTTCTCTGTTGTAGGGAGAACAAGGAGAAGAAGGACCAGATGGCAAGAAGGGACTGCTCGGAGCTCCTGTAAGTCAATTTCTGATGAAACCACCTGATGAGGTCTATTGTTTGTACCAGTATTGAAAACCTGTCACCACCTTTACAGTGTGAGTTCAAAGTACCTTCTACTGTCCTTTCAGGGCCCACGTGGAACACAAGGGCCGATCGGACCTAAAGGACTACGAGGAAACCCTGTAAGTTACGTCTGAGGCATGGTGTGATACTTTTTGGATTACTTTGTTTATGATCTTCTTCATCTTTTTAACTTGGTATACTCAAAAACTGAAATGTAAAGATATTTTATTCCCAGAATATAATGTTCTTGGTTCCATCTATTGCAGGGCCTTACTGGGGTGGATGGTATGAAAGGAGCATTCGGGAAGTCTGGTGCCAAGGTTAGGCTTTCATGTAGATAGAACTTCTAGATGCACTCCACATGTACATTGCATCTACCAAAAGATTTACTTCCAGCTGAGCCACTGTTTCTTTTTAACAGATATGTTTAGCCCTAATGTTTATCGATTTAATTCTAGTTACCCTAGTATTTCATATATCTAATTTATTGTAACTTGACCGATAATGTATTTACGTATGTGTCTATTGTGTATATTTGTGTATGATGTCGCAATATCAGCTATCAGCTGCCTGGCGGCAACATTGTATTGCCATGTTGCAATTTCAAATGAATAAATAAAATGTAGATAGAAATACATGATTGTGTATGTGAGATGTGTGTTTGAGAATCTACCTTTACTCTGAGGTATGATATTGCTATGTACATGTACTACCTGTTTGTGATATCTATAAACACACCAAATCTTCTTCACAGGGAGATCAGGGACTAATGGGTCTCACTGGACCTATTGGACCACCTGGACAGAGGGTGAGTTCTTTCAAACATTCTTTAAATGATTATAGTTAACATTGTCTTTAGTATTGAAACTCACCCACCCTTAAAAAAGTTCATTTCAGTTCAGTTCAGGGTGTACCCTTAAAACATCTATGCTAAATTCAACTACATTGTAATGTATTAAGGTATCAATCATTTTGGCTAATATTGATGATATGATTTTTGAAGATGCAGTTTTGGGTTTGATGTCTCTCCTCAGGGCCCAGACGGACGGAGAGGTGATATTGGGCAAGTTGGTTTTCCAGGAGAACCTGTGAGTCAACCTAGATTTCTACATGATTTTCGTCATGCTGAATTCAGACTTTTGATCTTCTACAGAATACTACAGTAATCAGTAAATTTTGTGTGTACGTAAGAGATTTGTGAGCTGTGGAGTGCACATTTCAACATGTACATGCTACAGTAACTGTAAATTGAAAATATTCTTAGATATCTTTTGTATGTTTAAGACTATGATCAAGTTATTTTCCATTGCAGGGAGATAGTGGCCCAGTAGGACCACCAGGACTAACCGGCAAACTGGGCAGAAAGGTGATTCAATTTGTGGAACCTACAGCACACATATGATAGCTATGAAGTATTATATAATAATGCTGGGCAGTTTTCTTTTCACGGATCTTTTCGTTTAAAATGTATGCCGGTGCTACACAGTAGGGTGGAATAAGAACTGTATCCACTACACAACTATTTATAATTTCATAGATCTTTCTTGTTTGAAGACAAGTTGTGTGACAAACGTTTGTTTTATTCTTCCATGACTGTACAGGGTGAAATTGGCCCAAGGGTGAGTCTAAGTCTTAAATTCTTTGGTACTGTTGTCACTTCTTCCTTTTTTAATTATTAAGTAAGTTATGCTTCCCTGATATACATAATAGTGTGAATGTGCATGTACTGTGAGGTAACTTTCAATTGTTTTTTTTTTTTATCAGGGTCCCAAAGGCATCCAAGTGAGTACTTTGTGTATTGTTTTGTCTACCTTATATCTCTTTTAAATTACAGCTACTTATATATAATGTAATATATTTCCCTTAATTCTTTGACCTGAATATGAGACTGATACTATATACCATGTATTTTATTAATATCAGTATTTGTATTTTCACACTGACACTTGTTTATTTTTTATCTGACCAATCCTACAGGGAGCCCCTGGTCCCCGTGGAATTCCAGGTCCACCTGTAAGTCTGCATCAATTACATAGAGATTCTTTATTGACACAACAAAAAAGTACAGAGACTTTTGTATGGTTTTCTACAACTAAAGATCTAACAAAGCTAAAAACGTGTGGATAACGTCATCTTACGTACAGAGTATACATGATTGTATGTATAATGTAACAATAAAGGTTAACTATTCTCTAACATGTGTTCTCTAAGATCGAAACATTCTTTAATGTATTTTCCTATTTGAACACTGTATTGGTTATCTCCCCTGAGAATGTAGTTGCATTTATCTATAGCATCTAACGTATTAAAATCAATTGAACAAGCGGAAAGAAAGGTGAACAGCAATAGGCGCTTATCATTGTATAATTGTATCATTGTATAGTACATACAATCCATTATAAAATGGTGACGTATACTGTATATTCTCATCCTATTGGGATATGCAGTCAATTTAATTTGTAAGCTTAGCTGTCACAGTTGCATTCCTATTTTGTAATAATTCAGCTAAAAATAACTGAATTGTTCTCTCAGTCTGAAGTAGAGCAGCTGTTGGTATCTTGATTTCTGCTGTTCTGCTAAACAATAGGATTATTGTCAGATTTGTATTTACTGGTCCTTGACTAACCACTGTCATTATCTTTTACATACAGGGTCCTCCTGGAGACAGGGTAAGTTATCATTAATAATATTAAGTTGATACGAAGTTTGTTTATGGAGTTGACAGTCTCTATCAATTCTGATTAAAAAAAAGTTTTGTTACACATATTGTACATCAGTATTGTGTCATAAATTTTGTTTCTTTTTGGTTTGCACTCATTTATCAAAAGTAACAATTCTACAGATCATAATTCACAGCTATCCGTATTATTATGGCCTTAACACTGCTGTGCTTTTTAAATGTTGCCAAAGGTACACAACCAGTTCTACATGACTGTGTCGTGTTACAAATATTCTCCTTCCATATCCCAGGGTCCACCTGGAACTTTTACCTTCTTTCCCGGTGGAGGATCCCCTGGTGCAGGTGCAGGGGCAGGGGCAGGTGCTCCGGTCAGTACTCATTTTGTTTTCTTGTTCTTCATAAGTACAAAATGTACAAGTTTCTACCCTCAAACCGTATTGTACAGTTTGTGTGTGATGTATGATTCTGTTGTTTATTTTCTTGCAAGCGTATAAAAACGATGTTAAATTCTTTGGTTTCACCAAGGAGGAAGAGTGGCATTTGTTCACTACATGTGTACATGTATATCATAATGTGTGTTCAAATCAATGTTTAATTTTATTTTAAATGCACAATGTTTCTTTCCTTCCATCTGTTCCAATTATTGCACATCTTACTTTTCATTGTGCACTGCACATCCATTTATCATCCTGTAGTTAATTTATATTCTTGTAGTCTTACATGCATCATGGAGGTTTCTACCTCCATGCATGCATCAAGACAGTTTCTTTCTTCTTCAGCGTCCAAACTCTGCCCATGGGCATTCCTCTGCCTATGTCCAGACCTCCAACTATACCTTTCCTATGGAAAATGGAGAGGTGATCACTGGTGTTCTTACATTTTCTTCATCTTCACTGATTCATCTATAAATGGGAAATCTTTATAGGAAAATTTCATGCTTTTATTCAGCAGATGATGCTTTCTACTGGTGCATGATGCATACTGATCAAACTTTTCATGCTTGCCACAAAACTATACATGTACATACTCAGCAATGGCTGGACACATTGTCAATCCCTTGTATCTATCTGTGTGTAGTATGACTACAGATCTTTTGAAAGGCAAGGTAGAATGTACGTATTGCAGTTTAGGAGCCTTGTAACCAATGACTGATGCATATAGTCAGTTTGTGGAAGACCTTTTGGTCTCCCTGGCTGCATACATTTTCTGTACTCTTACTAAGTCGTAGATTTATAACTTTTTGTGGTGGTGCTGAGATCAAATGTATGATGGTTGAAACAGTGATGGGTAAGTATCTTTCTACTGCATCAGAGGAGAGGGAATATTTAAAGTTCTTAAGTTACTTACATGTACTAATAAGCCTTTTAGCAAACTTGTATCAAATTTTGTATTCTTACCTCTAAAGCCTTTATTCCACATTTCTCACTTAATTAGTGTCAATAGACACCTGATTAAAGGCTTCTGTAGTGTTTTAATTAACCTTTTAACTGTTAAAAGTTTTGAGTCTCAAGTCCTTGATTCTTGTTGACTCCATGGACTCTCGTACCTCACTTTCCACTGTAGATGCCCGACATGACCTCACTCTACAATCCTATCATTGGAGAGGAAGTGGTAGGCATTCCTGAATTCACTCTGACTGACAGTGCTTATTATCTGCTTTGACGGCCCCCTTTGAATGGAGAACTGTCATCCTACAGCAACATCAGGCTTCAATAGGGTTCTGCATGTAGTGGCACCCCTCTTCCTGCTGTAAAGTCAGCATAAACTGCACTTAGGCAAACTCTTTTCATATCTCATTTTTAAGGAGAGTGATCTTCTCATCAATTGCTGACTTATGCAGCACCCCTTTATCTTCCTGCTATAAGTCAACGTCAGCTGTTCTATGGCAAACCACATGTACATGATTGTACAGTAGATCTTCCTTTACCTCTTTTCCTTCTTAGAAGCACAGTAATCTTCCCATGCTAGTAACTGCTACTCTCACTCCCCAAGGATCCAAGGATTATTAGCATTGCTCTGATAAATGGGCACCAAATGCTTAAAATTTTATCCCCTGCTTTTAAAGGTTTCCAGACGGTGCTCACTCCAAAGGCAGAAGCTTGGATGTCTTCCCCTTATTTGCCTGATACCACATGGCAACTCTGTTGCAGCTTTTGATGGCTCACTTTGGTAATCTATGGTACATACATGTAAGACATCAGCTTGGCAACTCAATTAAGCTACATTTCGTGGAATAAGAAATATAGTTTGACCTGAAGTTTATTTTATGCCCTAGATAACTGGAGGAGAGACTGGGAGACAAGAAACCATACAGGAACTGGACATGGACTTGTACAAGGCAACAGGCTACAATGTCTCAGAAGGCAAGTCATTTGTCAGCAGAAAAATCGATTGACTGTGTAAAAATAGCTTTTGGGTGTATTTTAAGGACGTTTTTCAAGTTTCAAGAGATGTTATTGTAATAATATATTCATGACTATATAGTGTGAAGTACCATGTATATTTTGCTACACATGTATATTTTACTCAGGAGCAACCCTCAGCATCACCAATGGAACCAACTCCTTCCTCATACGTGTGGTGGATGGTGCAGCCATCTTGTTTGATGCAGAAACTGGATTTACGAGGTAGATTTACATACTCATTTTTATCATAGATTTCGTTTTAATATATGGTGGCAAAAGAAGGAGAAACAGTGTCTGGGTAAAAAAAGTATTAACCAAGCAATCAGCAACAAGACACAAAACAAACTGTAGATGCTTGATACATTGATGCCTTTTACAGACATACATAAGACATTGCATTGTCTTAAGTTTCATTCAAGGATACTAAGTTAAGTACAGTAGCTATATGGTATTTTTTTCATGCCATGCTGCACATTGTTTTTGTTTTAGTGTATACCTGACAAATCTTGTGTGTCTTGTTTCAGAAAATTCAATGTGTCGTCTGGCACCAAAATCTTCCCCAACGGCACAGTGCTGGCAGGAGATGAACAGATGATGCCTATTGGCAAGTTCCTGAACATGACCGGGGAGGCCAGGCTCCTGGGCCTGGGTATGGTTGTAGTAGGTAGGACCAGACATTTTATGTCACAAACTGTGTTTCTTTTGGCTTGAAAGGTCATCTGTGTTGGTAGAAGTCAATATGTGAAACCTAATAAAGTTTGAACACCATTCCTTTTTGTCAAGGAATGAGTAATCCACTGCTTCTATGATGTCACATTATGTGATGTCATGTTATGTCGCACAATGTTACTTGGTGAGCAGTGAATCATAAGTTGCAGAAAGTTTGTGCCCCCCCCCCCATCTCTTTTGGGCAATATGTGTTACATTTGACCTGTTTTTTTTAATGAGCAAAAATTTGGGGCTGAACTGCGAGTTAACGAAACAATTATCATGAAATAATTTTGATGTATAACCTTGCTTGCTACAAGTTTGCCATTTTACCTGTACTGACCCGCCAATCTTATGTTGGATCCAACAGGAGAGGCCGGGTCTATAAGTAACCTGACAGGCTCAGGAGGTTCCTCCTCCCAGACGGCGGGAAGGAACGGTTACCCTGCAGAGGCTTTCAACCAGAATGGTGGCTCTCGGACAGTCCCAGCCGGCGCGGGAGAAACCGTGTTTGTAACGGGAACAACGGGAACCGGTGGGACTGTCACAACTGGTGGGGGCGGGGCGGTTTTTGTGACAGGGACATCAGGAGGCACAGGAACAGGTAAGGACTGGTTAATGACTGGTTAGTTACCTCTCAGCCGAGATAGTTTTTTTTGCCAAATTTGTGTTGGGTTAAAGCAGTTGGGAAAAGGTTGAAGATCAGTGCTGCTTGCACATTAAAAGAAATATTTATAAACTAAGATGAGTTGCAGTGATTTCTACACTTGCCAGATTTCATGAAAACTGTGCAAGATCCTCTACCAAGCTGACTGCATATTGTTTGAAATAGAAATTTTCACTTTGCATGATGTGTCAACTTTTTGCTGGATATTTCTAATTGCTGCATAAACATACAGCCATTTTGTCTTATACCATGGTCTAGGCCCCACCAGTGGGTTTGGAGAAGAGAACGGGGTTGTGACAGAGGTTTTCTCTCCGTCAACAGACATAGATCATCTGAAAAAGGTAACCATGTTCTGTACTTTTCCTTATTAAAACCTTAATGTCACAATAGTTACTGTAACAGCATGCTGAATGATGATTGTGAGTAGACTACAACTACTCTTCCCAGCTCGTCTTCCAAAGAAAGGTTGCTGTAGCCTCAGTCATATTGAATTTTTTTTGTCTATCAGCTCTCACTCAGCATTTGCAGCAACTGTGCCGAGACAGAACACTGAGTTTTGCGCTGAGGAAAGAATCAACTTCACAGTTGAACTTCTGTCTGTCTCTAATCATAGCTGTTGCATCCTGAAGATTGTTCCAAAGTTCTACTGTTGATGGTAGAAAAGTTCTCCTATGTCAGGGATCACCAGTACTAGTTGTGTTCTTGTGCTACTCGGTAATAGTACATATCCAAAATATATCCATATAATTTATGATCCAAATGTGTTGTACTTGTTCCAGCTCATAAGTAGGGTAGGGCCGGCTGAGTGGACGGACTATTTTGAGGGAGAGATGGACAGGTTACAGGGGATTGTGAAGACCATCGTTGGAGGGCCATGGGGCACGGCTGAGTACCCTGCCAAAACCTGTAAAGACCTGATGTTCGCTCAGCCAGGACTGAAGGATGGTGAGGCAGTGTGTTGTTGAGTGTGTGTGTTGGTGTGTGTTTGTGTGCATGTGACTGTGTGTATAGTGATGTGATGTGTGTGTGTATGTGTGTGTTTGTGTGTGTGACTATGTGTGTATGTTACTGTGTATGTGTGAGCGCACATGCAAGTGTGTTTGTGTGCGCGTGTGACTGCATGTGTATATGTGTGAGTGCAGGATCAATGGTGAGTCAGTCCTGTGTGTGTGCATATGACTGTGTGTGTTAGTGTGCATGTGTGGCTGTGTATGTGTGAGTGCGTGTGTTTGTGTGACTGTGTGCATGTGCATTTGTTTGTTACCGTATGGGTGTACTTGTGACTGTGTGTGTGCATGCATGTTTGTGTTTGTTTGAGTGCATGAGTAAGTGTGTGTGTGTGTGTGTGAGTGTACTGACTGTTCCTTATACCAAGAACAGAACATTGTGTGCAATGTATAACTGTATTTCACCAGTCCTTATCTATTTCCCTCTGTGTTATCAGGTTATTACTTCATAGACCCTGATGGAGGCTGTATTGAGAATGCGTTCCAGGCCTTCTGTAACTTCACCGCTGGAGGACTGACCTGCTTCCAACCCACCAACGACACGCTGGCTGTGAGTAACAGCAAGTGGTTGCATGATATTTGGACTCGTCTTACACATCCTGGTTGTAACTGCATAATATGGCTGAATTGTGCTCTCAATAGAGTAAAATACAGATCTGGTTCTTGATCTGAAGCAAATGATATGCTCAACTCAAGTAATGAAGTCATAATTTTTTATACCCTCAAGACAGGGCAGGACTTAGAACAGTGACGTAAGTAAGATGTGCCCCAATTAAAGCTGATTCTTGAATCTGAAGCAAATGAGTCACAAACATGTTCTGTACTTGTCACTACTTGTCATCATAATTTGTTGATCTTTGATATTTTTTCAGTCCCCAAGAAGTCCATACAAAGTAGACAACTTTACCTGGTTCAGTGAAGTAGAAGGTGGATTTGAGGTAAGTAAAAAATTTAAAGACTTTTAATGTATAGACATGTCACTTGTTTACCAGTAGACTACTTTATAATGATTGTGTTGGCTATTTCTCCTTCAATGTTGGCTGTTTCTCTTTCAACAGATTGAATATGAAGGTGACCCCATCCAGTTGAACTACATCCAGGCCCTGAGCACGCGCGCGACGCAGACCTTTACGTTTGAGTGCTCGTCGGCGGTGGCATGGTACAACTGGAACACGGACGGCTACGACCAGGCCGTCAGACTCCTGTCCAACAACGAAAACGTGCTGACCTACGGAACCCCTGGTGTAAAGACTATATATGATGGCTGCCAGGTCAGTATACTGCATGCCGACTTATTAGTCAGTACCGGTATATTTGTACAATTGTATTAAGTTTAGGAGCTCAGAGCAAGGAGGGTCAAAAGTTGATCATGACAATAATGTCCTCTAAGATAGGACGTAAAGCCGGAGGTCCTGTGTTTAAGGAGGGCCACTCCTCGAGCACGTGAAAGATCCCACCAAACTTGTAGAAAAGAGCAGGGGTCTTACATGTCTTTTCTCAGGTTTTACATCCTGAAAAGGTGATAGTTACCTGTTGTGTCAATCCTTACACAAATGTGGAAAATCTTCATAAATCATGAATTACTATATTCTCAACATGTGAACAATTTTTGTTCTAGTTTGCTTCACCCCAGCTGGACCTGACAGTTATAGAAATCAACACAACGGCCACGGAATGTGTTCCTGTTAGAGACTTTGGGGTGTTCGAGCTGGACGAAAACGGACAAGAGTTTGGCTTTTCTGTCGGCCAAGTTTGCTTCCAATAGTGTTCCAGTGACTTATGCCTTTACTAAGGAGGAGACAATGAGGAAAAAATAGTAATGTACTCTTATACCAAAAAAAGAAATGAAGCTACTTAAGTAGGATGAATACCCACTGTCACTTGAGAAAGTTATATATAAATATATCTTCTGGCTGCAGTGTACTTAATTAATTTAGTCTTAATAAGGAAGTTTGTTGTATTTTATGGCATTTAACTGCCTGTATTGTATTAAAGACCTCAAAACATGTATGGTGAAATTACCGTCACCTCATGATTATATGGTGCTATTTCTCACTACACAGTATTTTAAGAATAGTATATTATTGTGCATATGTAAGTTTTGGGGAAATGACTGTCCACACAACATGCCAACCTACACTTACCTGTATACTTTGTTTTAATTTGTGTAGAAAGAGTCTCTCGTGTAGATTTTAGTTAGATCTAGGCATGCTAATGAACCAGTAATGGAAAATACTTAAGTGTTCTTTGGGGCCAAAAATGTGCATTAGAAAATTTACTACTCACAAAAGTTTCCAACTGCTGTATCTAGAACTTGTTCACACATGCTTGAGGTAGGTCTTTGAAAAGAAAACATTATATATATATCTCTTTGGTATGAAATGGTTTTAAAACAGCACTGATGTGCTGAAGCCCACCTTAACAATTCTTCTTTTATCAGGACAGATGCCACGTATATTTTAGCAAATTCATGTACATGATATGTTCTGACCAGTATACATGTATTTCCAAGTGAGCAAACCTTATGGTATAATAAGTAGTGATTTGTGTACAAGCAGTATCTTCTTCGTTTTGAATGTTGATACCTTAAGTATCATGATCTTCTTTCTTGTATATGCAGCTGCTGTGAATATTCTTTTGCTTTTTTTATATTACAATCTAGAGCCTTGGTTTTGCGAATCCCTAGAGTAGGTAATTTCTGTCATTACTGGTGCTAAAGTGTATTTTTGAACAGAACTTTCTCAAAATCAAGATTACTTTAGGGTTTATCTAAGGAACATTTCTCAAGACTCTAGGAGAATAAGTTCATCTAGAAACAGTTTCTGTGAAGATTGACCACAGAAAATTTGTTTCCTGGTAAACTTTTTTTTCTTCTGGAAATTGAAATTTCAACAAATAGAAATTTCTAAATAGAAATTTCTATATAGAAATTTCTATATCTATTTTCAAAGCTATATGTAAAACAGGCTTCAGATGTACTGCGATACATGTATTTGCGATTTTCTGTATTTACATGTAGGTCTTTCATGTCAATCAAGAATTAAACTTGTCTTTTTTTTACAAATACTGTAACGGTTGCATTTTCTTGTGTTGACATTTGGTGAGCATTGAACCAAGACAAATTAGTGATACGCCTCTTTCTTATGCAGACCATGCTTTTGGCAGGAAGGGCCTCGTGCCTGGCCCATTTGCTTCATGATAAGGCTCCATCACATTATACCTGGACACACTGGTTCCACCGCTAGTAAGACCCAACACTCCCAAACTCCTTGAACGTCTTCAAAATGCCTGTCTGTCAGAGGTTCTTGTAATGTTACATGTATTTCACACAGAGTGACTTCAGGGCTGTTCTATGAGACTGGTACAGATTACAACCGGCTATCATACAATGTACGCTGCTCCTGCAACAAAAGCACATCACATCATGCTAACTCTTCTGTCACATCAATCAAGACAGCTGAAAAAATAAATAGCTCTGTTAGCAATACAATATCGCACGTCTGGAAAATGCTGAGTATAACTTCCTATTTTCACACCTACAAAGTATGATACCATGTACATTGCTATGGCACTTTATCCATACAAACCTACATGTACTGTGCTAATGAACATAGTAGGAATGTTCTGGTAATTTGTATTTTCCAACAAACTGCTAACTGAACAGCATTGATTATTCTCGTATAAAGCACACGTGGCATGTCAGGAACATTTCCACATCATGATATACATACATGTAGGCGACATCCAGCATGTCTTGGTAAATCAAAAAAATGGCACACAAGTTATATATGAAGTATCATTTCTATACAATTGTCATATGTGTTATTTTGTATGTCTTGCTCTTGATGTGGTTACACTTTGCTATGACTTTGTACAATTATAGATCATATCAAATGTAGGGTAAGATATTAATATTGATACATTTGTAGTTCATTATGTCTGTACCTTTAGATACACTGTTGATGTTTTCTTAGCAATGCCTCAAAGCCTGCTACAGGCAATGCTGAGAACTTTGGCATTCTGGCACTCCTCTCCATGTAGCAAAATAATTGTATGGCCTGACCAACGAACTTAGCTACGATATGGAATGCAAACTCACATGGAACAGATCTACCTATGATGAAGTTTGATACTTTCCTTCAACACAGGCAAAAGTACAAAATGTAGCTCACCTTGAAGTTTGAGTTGCAAGGGCATTGCTCTCTTGTTGTTTTCTACATGATTAAGACTTAAGGAGAAGACATAAATATACCCATAGAAGTTCCTACTGTAGTTGATGGTGACGTTTGTCACAGTCCCAGGTCTGGGAACAGGTTGTTCTGACACAAGACTTGGTGAACCACGTCTGAAGGCTTCAGTAGCCTGGTGCTGCCTACAACAACCTGGAAACATGCAATACTGATATCAGCACGTGTTCAACCATCAAAACGAAACAGATGTATATAATCGAAGACAAAACCAGGAGAGACACTCAGAAATGATGGCTACCACTTATAGCAGAATATAATGTGAAAACTGTGCTTGAACAAGAACAATTTTTCACCTAGTACTAATACTTTAACGATACTTTGCTGTGTTTGCACATTTCAAACAATGGAGGACATGTTCAAAAGTTCATGGGATCCTTTCGGGAGGGGGTAAGCGATCTTACTTAGCTTGTGTAGAAATGTTTTTCATTTTGGCAGTCAATTTCTGTAATATCACTTCATCAATTCAGCCTTTGGGCTGTGACTGTTGTGATATGGTTGATGTCATAATAAAACCATTCTACATACCTCAGTCTCCGTCTTGGCAGCTGCCACGGCCTCCCTGATGAGTCGGACCTCCTGACAGGTGACTCCACCCACCACGTACACCATCAGGAGAGGGTGGTCACTCGGGCGGGGCTTCGACACACTCATGAACATCCTGAGGGGACAAGGTGGAGTTATATCTTTGAAGTTTTTTTTTACAACAGATGAGCTTTTTTTATGAAAGACTGGCCCAGAGGGAGAAAAGGCAGACATACTAGTATATAATGATACTGGTGAATGTACAAAACATAAGTATCATCAGCAAATGAATATACACATACTAGTGTACCTACATTTGTATATAATTTCACCCAGTACATGGACCAGTGCAAGGTAGGTGCAGGTTCACATCAGAAATACCTGTACAGTCCCAATTTCACCTGTACTAAGGTTAATACAACACAAAAGTTCACTTATGGTACAAATTTTCTATTGTCTTCAGCGGTCTTATCTGACATTGTATGATAATTAAGACTTTAATTGTACTCTAGGCCTCGTGCTATGCCTGGTCTGAAGTGCTCACCTGAAGCCACTCTTGAGCAGGTCAGTGAGCCCCGAGGACAGATGTTCCACGTCGGGGACGTCAGGTTTGTCTGGGTGGAAGATCTGTTCCATCAGCTGTCTCACCAGGGGGCGGTACGAGGCTACCTGGGTCACACTGCCAGGTGTGAACACAGAACTGGGGAGCGGAACATCGGTATGAGACTAAAAAATAAAATTTTAAGGGTCTCGGGGGCAAATGATGTTGACACATTGGCGCACAAATTCCGTAGTGTGATTTTGGCACACAGTTACTACACAGATTAGCCAAAGACTAGAGGCTTGGTGGGCGTCACTCCACTGTCCAGGGAGGAAAGTCATGTAAAGTGCCTTTCCCAAGGGCAACGTTGGGTACAGTGAGTATTGAACCCGGGACCTGTGGGACCCGGATATGAGACAACTGTGACAAGAACACAGTTTTCTCCCCATGGACTTCTATAGTTAAGGAACCCAAAGAGAGAAGGTTCGACGCTGTAAAAACTCACCCAAACTGTTGGAGTCCTGTCCTGGCCCTACCAAGCCCTTTCAACTTGATGAACACATCGTTGATGACACTTCGTATTCTGTCTTCTGTGGTATTCTCACCAACTGTGGAAAACAGACAGGAATGGATAACAGTGTCATGAATCCATGGACATTTACAAAAGCCAAGAAACTGTTACGTTTGGACTTACATTCTAATACGCATATTTAAAAGACTCATCTGAGTTGACTATGGAATGTTACGCACTATGTGGATAGTAGCCAGTCAACAGATGCAATCTTCAAATGAAAAAGCAACACTCATAATAACATTACTTACCCAATGACTGTAACTCTGGGGACAGGGTTGCTTGTGACAGGATGGCATGTATTATTGTTTCCTGAAAAAAAAAAGAAAATCTATCAGTTTTGGCAGACTTTTCATGCCTTCAAAGGATGGTAATTTTGTTTTTCTTTTAGTTGTTAAATGGTTGTAACAAGTGATGCCATGGGTGGAATATTGTGGTGGAATAGATCAATTGATCAAGATTTAGTGACCTGAATATCAAAAAAAAAATTTTTTTTCATTGTTCTGATATCAAAAGTTTGATCACACACACACAAGTCTTCTTGTTGCTACGTTTTACTTTAGCTTGCAGATTCGATTTAAAATCTTGAAAAATGAAGAATGATTAAAGGATTGAAGATGAAGGATTAAGAACAGAATGATTTTAGGATAATTTTTTCATTATTATAAAATTTACATTTAATTTGGTTACTATTAACATTATGATTCATGAGTAAACTGTTATTCAGCAGCTCGAACCTTCAGCTCTTCTTCATCAGAAGGGTTGACCAGGTAGTCCTTTGGATGGCAGTGAGTTAGGGACAGAAAAGTCACAGTTCTTTATGTAAAGATGTTATATGGATATGGGGTTAGTAGTTAGAGCATGACAAGGTTTGGTCATACTGAAGAGTAACAAAACAACAAGATATTTTTCATACTAAACATGTCCCAATTTCTTACTTTCTTCCACATATTTTAAACACATCCTCACTGTTATGTAGTGTTGAGTAGTGGAGGAGATTTTTTATATGTGTATACTATTGATGATGTATTTTGATATGGTCATTGAGCCTGATAACAATACATGAATAAAGACTAGAAAGGTAACATTTGAAAAAGCGAATGCATAATGCTTACCTTCACAATTGGTCTAGCCTAATTACTGCTCTGTTTAATGTTACTCACACACATATAATGTATGGAAGCAGCCATTCCAGCTGTGTCCTGGTACAAAATGTAACCCGACACCACAGGGTGTCTGCTACCGCACCAGTTACCATGGTGACAGCAGTCTGGTCCATGCTATTGACTTTCTTTGTTTGGAGAAGTAAAAGAAGAGGAAGACGAAACAGAGCAAAAACAATATGTTTTCCTTCTGCAAAGGTAAAAATAAAAATTCTGCCTCTACCCTGAGCCTCCCCTCCTCCTCAGCTGTTCCCACATGTTCCTCCCCTAACAGTGAGTACACAAACACCAGCAGGGCCAGCACGTCCTCCAGACTACACCTCTGTCTCCTGGTCCGCCCACCTCGATCCTTAGACTCTTCTCTCTCCTACAGGACAAACAACAACAATCAGCAAAGACTGACAATCTACATGTACAGTAGACACAAGGGTTGCAATCATGCTTATGCTGGCAATGTGAAAGCAATTAATTGGTATAGAATCAAAGAAGCATCTACCAGGAAATACATGTAAGCTGGCACTCTGATGTACATGTTGAAGAATGAACTCTTGTGGGTTTACATGTACATATGGAAGTGATTCATTTTTTTTGTCATTACATGTATATGTTATCCTGATGAAACTAAGAGTGGTCATTGGAAATTTGATCCATGTGTACCCTTTGTGTTAGAATAAAGACTAGCATAACTTAATAACATAACGTAAAAATGTTTGTAAAATATTAATTTTGTCTGACTGCTGTCTGACCTGTAACAGCTGTGTCAGCTGATGCAGTGCTGTAGGACAGTCCTGGTCTCCAGCGTTCTGCATCAGAGTCTTCTCCAGACCCAGTAACTCCTCCGTGTGAGGGTAGAGGGGGTGGTTCAGGGTCTGTACAGCTGCCATGGCCAGCTGAAGGACACCAGCATGCTGTACAAACGCCCTGGTGCTGTCTGGTTCCCTGTAAAGACACATCTATACATGTTATCTACAGTAACTCCTCAGTGTGAGGGTAGAGGGGGTGGTTCAGGGTCTGTACAGCCGGCATGCTACATACAAAGGCCCTGGTGCTGTCTGGTTCCCTAGGGAAGGACACATTAAAAAAAGGAATTGTGATCTCAATCCAGTTTTAGCTCACTGAAGAGCTAATCTCCCACTGGTCGTGACAGAGAAGACAGATGCTACATGTAAGTACAGGATTTACAGGTTCATTGTAACGGGAAAATTCCCCTGGCTTTTTTTTCAAGAAGCACAATGAACAGTGTCAGTGGACCACAGCCTGTTAATTAATGTCTCGTCCTAAGGACTGTTACCCCTTCCGTTTACCTGAAGAGTTTGAGATGTCCCTCCAGCTGCTGAGCTCCCAGGCGGCCAGGCTTGGTGGGGAGACTGACCAGCAGCTTCTCCTGGGTCGCCACTTCCACCAGGTGCCTGTTTACATCCATCAGGCACTCCTGCAAGGGACAGAAGTTACATCAGTAGGATCAGCATGACCCATACGATTATTGCTATATAAATGCCAACTTTATCAAATACATGGTGTGACTGTTTAAAACAGATGAGATATCTTATCAAGTACTTTGAATGAAGGCTAGACATCCAACCTCCAGGTAAGCAATATTCAAAGACAGTACAAAGATTACTTTTGAACTTTTCAAATGAGGAGTGATGGGTGTCACTTGAAATGTCTGTAAGTAATCTCTGTAATTTATCCTGAAGTTCAAATTGTCTTTGAATCTTATGAAGTCTGTAGAGAGCCCAGTACTGAACCTTTTGCTTGAGTGTGACAAATGAGTTGAGTAGAGCCTGTGATGCTGAGTCTGCATGGCTCAGTGTGCCTGGGCAGATCAGCTGGGGATACAGCTGGCTGAGGGGACAAAAGAAAAGAAAGGATGAAGACTATACTAGTGGAAATGAAGGCTTGTACATGTCCTAACTGTTGTCAGGACTGCCATGCAAAGATAGCCACACTAGATGCTGCACACGGTCACAACACCAGACTTACACTATTGCTACCATCATCCCTTGAGATGGAAGGATGCCTACCTAACGTGTATTTGTACTGAGACATTTTTTTCTAGTGGAATACTGAATGAAGGATGCTTTAATGGGTGCCAGACCCCACGCGACCAGATATTCCCTTTGGCCGGGGTTTGAGTTAGGCACCCAGGGTCTAATTCTATTTCTCGCACGAGGATAGATAATTTGATGAAGGGTGTCAACTCTGGGAGCAGGGCATGTTGGGAGAGAGTCGGTTGAGGCATCACTGATTTTTCTTTCCCTATTCTAAGCGCTGGGGTCAGGCAGCCAGGCTACTACATGTACTGTATAATAGTTTGACCTGGAGAACCCTAAATGGATGTTTTACTCACGCTCCCTTGGACAGCAGACTGGTCATGTTGATGGACACGTCCACCGTGTGTCCCTGTAACCGTGGCAACAGGGTAATGACCTTGTCGGCGAGGGAGTCCGTCTGATGACCACACGGACCCACCATGTCCAGACTCCTGTCCACAAACAGGATGGACGCTTTGTTGGCTGCTGTCTGTAGGGATACAAAGAGGAGTTCTATTGGTCGACTCTGGGCATGAATATTTATTATGGTTTGTTTGAAAAATAATTCCCAACAGCTGAAAGAGTTACACATATAACAAGGAAGGGACACAATAAAAAAACTGAAATTTTCATTTGATACTAACAATATTGACTTTAGATTTCCTCACTACATGCATTTCAAACTTCAAACTTCCAGTCTTTGGTTGATGTTTTTGAACTGTTGGCCAAACCTGTGATTGCATTTGAAATATTCTAGGAATAAAGTAAGCAATGAGTTGTGTTGTTCTTTTATATTCTGTCTATATCTAGAATCTAGAAAAACATCTGAACTGACACATGGAAGAATTTGCCCTGATACACCTACTTTTCTCCTGTTCTTGGCAGAGTTGAGATTTGCCAGCTCAGAAGCGATGACTCTGCTGAAGGGGCCGACAGCGTAACAGTCTTCTCTGACATTCAACCCCTCAAACAGGCTGCTGAGGTTCGACACCAGCATCTAGGTTCAAAAACAATATACAAGATAGCAGGGATATAATGTACTATGTTACACTATGAATGATGCAAAAAACATAGGAATGTAACATAGGAATGTTTCAATCAAATTTTAAGACCAAACAATGACCAGGGGTACGGCTGGGTGAAATCCAAGTTTCTAAGTATCAAAACGTGAGTGTTCTCTACACACAAATTGAGCACTGATCTAGACAACCAACTTACTAGTATCTAATCCCTTACTATGTGAAGTTCAGAAGCAAACCAGCAGGTGTCACTGTTGAGACATGCATCTCACCTTGATCCAAATCTGCAGATCAGTTGACAGATGGCTGAAGTCTATCTTCATAGAGTCATCCCCGACTGCTTCACCCTAAAGGAAAGAAAAGCCAATGTTAAGAACAAGAATACCACACAGACACATTCTAGTAATTTCTATTACATGTGTATACTATCTCACAAAATAATACTTTCTAAAGGAAACATTATACATGTATCTTTTATCACTTTAGTTCCTATGGAAAGTGCTCTTTATGAATCTTTCTTCTCTCATAATAATCAAGAACTTATAACACTGACCCTTGCTATTCTCATCTGCCTGATACTGTCCATGTCTGAAGGTGTGAGAGGGAACATGGAGGAGTAGGCTGGTGTGGTGAACAGGCCAGGACAGATGGGGGCAAAACTCACAGGCTCGTACAACACCTCTGCTGTGTAGTTCTGAAACAAAAGTCCACAGTTGTTAATTATGTTGACACAGCGCTTGACGCCTTATCGATTTTGATGTTATCTGCCACAAACATTTGCTGACCATACAGTCATAAAAAAATTAGTCTAATATTTTGTACAAAACAAACCTGTCATTGGTCCCAATTCCAATAATATGTTAAAGAACACTACATTCATCAATAACAACAGAATTGGTTGAGTTATGCTCATTAACTCTGATGACCTCAGCCTGTTGCCAAATCATAAGCTAGCCCCTAATACTTTTGGACAGTTTTTTTTGTATATCAGACGAATTGATACACCAAAAGTATAGATACAGTCAGTTGCTGGAGGTTAGATATCCAAGTAAAATGATATTCGAAGACAGTTCAAACTCAATTCAAAATTCAAAATTAAAAAAAGTGACACTGAAGAAGAGTGACGAATGTTACTCGAAACGTCCGGAAGTCATCTCCGTCATTTATCCAGTAGTAAAGCTTGAATTGTCTTTGAATATAGATACAGTCAGATTTCCAAAGCAGCACAGGCACCCGTACCCACCATGTTCCCCATCCACTCACACATCTTCTCCTCAAACTGGTCGAACACCTCCCTGCTCTCGCTCTCCTGTGCCCCGTGTACAGTCTGGTGTGTGTAGTGGTTTACGCTGCACACCACCACACAGTACTGGAACTGGCTGGCCGTGATGATGTCCCTGATCACAGTCATGGCCTGGCCTTTCAGCACCGAGGACAGCACAAACACGGCCTTGGGCTGGTCATCTTTGGCAGACTGGGACAAACAGTTATCAAATATAACTTCACATTGAACATAGCTTTTAGCTGCAACTTTGTTTCATGAACACTCACTCTCATTGTTTGTTTGTTTGTTGAACAGTTAGTTAAATTTCTTTTAAATGTATAATGTTTCTAAGCAAATATTATGCCTCTTATTTATAGCACACTTCTTTCATACAAACTCTTCTGGCAGACTGGGACAAACAGTTACCAAATATAACTTCACATTGAACATAGCCTTTGGCTGCAACTTTTGTTAAACACTAAATGTTACAGGTAGTTAAATTTTCAGAAAAGTGCAATGGTCATTAGTAGCAATGCTTCTTATTATGGCTCATTTCTTGCATTTAAACTCTTCCCAAAGATAGGTAGTAACTGCCTAACAGGGATCAATGGTAATTGGTTTGCCCGGTTAAGTGTTAATTGGAAGCTGACTAGATAAGGACGTTTCCGTTTCAGAGATCTTGTAAATCTTATCCTCACAGAGTGGCAGAAGAAGAAACAGATGATATTAGTAAACGTTGTTGATGTTAACGCCAAATGACTAAAGATTATTGGAAAGATAGTTATTGAAGATTAACGCTTATACTAAGAAAGTCAGTCGATAAAAGACTTATGATCACAAATAAAAGAGGGGAGCATGCCCGTAGCCAGGATTTTGAAGGGGGGGGGGGTTCTTTAAACTGCTTGAGGGGACCTCGAGCGCCGTAGGCGCGAGGTGGTAAAACTTGAACGTTACCTCAAAAGATGAGAACTCCTTGACGTTGACTGCACCAGCCTTGAAGAGCCTGGCAGCTCCTCCGCACCAGTGCAAGACTTCTGCCGAGGGTCCGTCCAAGAAAACAACCGCCTTGTTCACCTTGGCGCAGACTCTGTCCCAGACGCCAGTAAACCAACCCTGAAGCGGCTTTCCTGGCATCGTGTTATCAGTAACTGTTTATCAACGTATGGAGAAAATGTAGCTTCCTTTCCTTAGCAGACGGGCAAAGAAATTGTCGTCCGCTAGATCAGTTGCCGAGTGGGAGGGGGGCGGGACACAGCTGTAGGTTCAACAACGCGTTGTACCTCGGTCCTCTTCTGTTTACATGAATACCGTGCAAAATTTGAGTGAGATTATCGTATCATAGCTTTAAAAGGCCATTTCCTGCGCGAACATCTCCGAAAAACGGAGAAAATAACAACTTACCGAGAAAATACCGAACATCCTGAACGAAAGTCCGCCATCTTTGTTGTCGACGTAACGGACGGGTCCACTTCAACAGAGGGGGATAATCTCCAAGCAGATGTTGAGGGAGGTCCTACTAATTGTCAGGATAGAGAGTTTTTAATACCAGAATGGATAGCAAGACTTTTCTCTTAAGGTTATCAAAGTGTGGCCTCATGGTCCCAAATATAGATTCTTATGCATTGTCCTTAATCAACACTATCTACCCATGGAAGATGTGATTACTATTTGTCGTCTTTTCTGAGATCTATTAAATACTAGTATCTTGTGTAATAAACCTTTCTGATATTTTTTCATCCCCTTAAAACGACCCTACATGTAACAATGCAGGCAAAGAAGACACGCAGACAGACAGCCTTAAGTACAAAAGAATAAAAAGTTTATTGGTACTGGAAAATATATATTCATACTCACTGCTAAGGCGACTCAGAGCGAGAGAATACAGGTATTTACAAGATGGCTGAGTTTCAAACTAGGTGCCCAGTTTCCCTACTGCCCACAATAACACTGACTACATGATACATGCAGACAAAACAAGCAAGACGGTGTAGTCATTGTACTACCCTGATCCTTTAAGTATCAGTATGATATCTTCTCTATACCTTGATTGATGAATTTGTAAGGCACATTACGTTAAGTAGGATGGGCTCGGATAAACAAGCCTTTTTGTATTTACAAATTCTTAACTTACACAACAGCTACATATAGACTACAGAGTTCCAACGGGTGAAAATTTGTGTCAAATTCTATAGATTCTGCCTTGCTGGAAACCAACACAAAAGGTTTAACATTACAGGGCAAAGTTGGACAGTGGGTAAGTACAGCTCATATAATTTTTAACAGAAAACACATGCAGTACACTTTTCAACTTTCCTCATGCAGTTAAGTTTTGGCAATGCTCAACCAGAGGGGAAGATAATGGGGATAGGTGAGCTGTGTCATCTATAATAAGATTATTATTGCAATTCATGAGTGTCTATACTATTTGCTTGACAGGTCATGAATGTCAATAAGTACACAGAGACACAACGTCCACCTATCTACTGAGATTAAGACTAAGGGTTGTTGCAATCATTCACTCTGTGGATACAGATCTTTCCCCACTGGATTCACACTGCCAAAACTTAACAATAAGGATCACACCGGCATCTTCCTTCTCCTGACAACTCCTTCACATTCTTCTCCCCACGCTTGACAAATCTTTTTTTTTTTGCCACATTCTGACACCCCATAGGTTTTGTAAACAAAACATACTTCACACAATACGCCACAATTTTTTTCTACGCAACTCGGACCTCTACAAGGGAGCCATGACAACAGCAGCAAGTAGTTTTACTTTCTACATTCAGAAGTAAAGGGCTGATCCATTATGAAAAGTTTGCAGGGAGGTGTGCAGGACAGATGGAGGTTGAAGTAAACATTGTCAAAGCCATTGACAGCAATGGCTCAAACTTTGAGGTGTAGCCAAAATTTTATTCATGTTGTCATGTATTGTCATGGCTCCCGGTTCTACAAACCAATACACATGCATCTGGTAAACTGTTCCAACAGCATGCAACAACTTCTCTGAGTACAACCCAACAAATGCTGTCCTGTCCAGTTGGTGGTGGTACCACTTGGTAAACTCATTTCACTCAGCCATGTTGGAGTCTAGAAAGTGAGGTAACACTCATGTATATAGTAATTACTAGTAGGCCATTGAATCCTTTCCATTCTAACATCTACAATGTAGGGTAATTGTCTAAAGCTATTCTGTATAATGACAGCGTCTTCTTTGGTCCTCCACACTTGCATACTTACTGGCTGTACCCAAGCATGGCTGCCATTACATGTATCCTGTGACATTACGGAACTAGAAAAGTTGCTATACATTGGTCCTACAAGCACCCGTTTTCAACAGAAACACCAACAGATAATACAATGTACACCAGTTCTATACACAACTTCTGCACAAAAAGATTCACAAATCACATTTAGGCTGCATCAATTTTTTTTGGCTTCTGGTTGCAAATTTTTGCTATCTTGTTTTCAAAATCGATCATTTTCTTTGGAAAAAATGCCTTTTGTACATCCGTTGCAGATCATGACAACAGTTTGTCTAAATTGTTGCTTTCTTTGGAATTAAAAGTCAGAACACCAGATCAATTCATGTAGCCTAAATAATTAGAATGCTACCATTTCACATGATCTGAAAATTGTTGTATACAGTGGTTCTATGGCAAGATTAAACATGATTTTGAAAAATATCAACCATTTGTGCCCTCCCCAAAACGATCACCACAAAAATTATGGTTACAGATTACTGCATGCATGATTCAAACACAAAATTCCTTATTCTGCCATCTATAAAAGAATTTATCAGAATCTGTACAAATTGTTCAACACTCTCAGCTTCAGTAAAGGTTCTTATATGGTATGCTTAAGTCATCTCTATATTATGTAAGTGACCAAGAGCTCGTCAAAATGTGCCATGATTAAAAAACTATATGTACTTGCAGTGTGAACTTCACTATTGTGTTGATGTTAAGTACTGTGATTGAAAAGTCATGTTTTACCAGTCTACCCAAAGTTATCCCACAGAAAATCAAATCAAAGATTTCAGTGACATGATTCACTCTATTACGTGTAGAAAACACCTCACAAACCAAGTCACCAAAACAGCAGGTACTGACAGCATACATGGGGGTCCTGATTGGTCAGAAACTGGCCAATAACATGGCACAGTATTTCCTAATTACCATAAATATTATCTACACTGCAAGAAGTGCACCAAATCTGTGTAGAAATCCCCTTGATGTCTTGTCTTGTTGAACAACATTAGGTTGTCACAATATTGGAAAATTTGTTTTTACCAACAACAGGCTTTAAAGATTACCCCCGGTAAGTACTTAAAATTGCTGTCTACCTGATGTATTGGTGACTTTTTTTTAATGTTTCAATAGTCTTAACATTAAAAACCTTTAAAAAAGCTAAAATGACATTGGATAGTAATCTTTCTACAATCATCAGTTAAATGGATCAAAGTCTTCAAAACCCAAAGACTCCATGGTCTGGGTTTGTCTGAATCCTCCTGAATCTCTGTCCCTTGGAACTCCAGAATCCTCCGACAGTTCTGTGTTCTCGTCGTCTGAAAAGCTGATGTGAAGCTTCATCTCGTTCAGACCCAACTTCTGACCCTTTCTCGGGCTCGAATTCAAATCGTTCAAGTTTCCGTCATTCTCGAAGCTTGGCGACTTGCTCTGGCTGCTGCCGAACCCGCTCGACTCGCTCGGCGAAATGGCCGACTCCGACTCGGATCCGTTCGCCTCGGCGCTCTCCGCACCCTGCTGCTCCGCCGCAAGCTCACCCTCCGGTACCATCAGATCCTGCGTGGTTTTTAAAGAATTCCTGCTGCGTTTGGACTTGGGAGGGGGGTCTATTTTGGGCGTGATATTGAACTCTTGACTGCCGTCTATCGACCCTTCTTGTGGAAGGGGTACGAGGACTTTTACCTTCCCATCAGGCCCTGCTGAGGTGTGCAACACGGTTTTCTTTGGCTCCGGTCTCGGCTTGGAGATGGACTCATTAGACAGCTCTTTCCTGTCACTCTCGACCTCCGACGTGTTTCCGTTGATCCCAGAATCACTGTCCAAGTCCAGGAGGAAGGAAGACTCGTCTTTCGCACCACCCTTGACAGGACTGGAGGGTACGTGGCTGGAGTCACCATCACAAAGGAGTTCTGTGGGCACAGGGAGAGAGAACAGTCAGTACTAGCCACATGAGACATCTATTCAGTACCCACTCATGTATAAACTCTCAAGCCAATAAAAAGAAAAATACAAGCGACATACTAAAGTGCAGTTTGTGTTGGGTTGAAAGTTTAATCAAACACAAACAAACATTCAAATGGTTTCAAAACTGTTATTGAAATGTAGTGATCTAGTGATCATTCAAACAGCACTCTGTAAGATGATGAAATTAAAAGTTGAGTAACATACATGTAGTTACAAGCATGATGCATTACATGTAATTCTTACAGATAACTTGCCTAATAGACTATATATATATATATATATATTGCATGGTTATCTACAGCACAAGCATGCAGCTTTTAAGTATTTAGCAAAAAAAGGCAGCGGGTTAAAATGATCAGAATAAACATCAAGGCTATTCCAGTCAAAAGGCTTGCACACTAACACTATCTTCAGATTGATATTCATACGCAAAAGTTGTTTTTTTCCAGTCCTTTGCCCACTGTTTGAATGGAACAGCCTTCACGTAACAGCTAGAGGAGAAACACCACAAACACAAACCAGAAGAGAGACACAGCAGAGGGGCCAAACAAAAGACAACTTGCGCATGCTGTACCTTTACTAGCGTGCTCTTTTACAAGAGGTTGAATACCTAAGCTGGTGTTTTCGAACATCCCGGGTACGTGGGACGAGATTCCGCCCTGCTGAGCATCCTCAACATCCTGGAACTCTGGGAGGATGACGACCCCCGGGGCGGGGGTGTTTGTGTCTGGGAGGGGCGGGATGTTGGAGGGGTGGGGGTTGGAGAGGGGCGGGATGGTCTCGCTGTAGCTCTGTCCCGTGAGCTGCGTCTCCAGCTCTTGTACGTTGGCGACCAGCGTGCCGACGTGCTGCAGCAGGTCCCGGTTCTGCAGGAGGAGCTGGTGGGTACGTGCCTGTAGGACAATAGGATTACGATAAATAGATGTATTAGCATCCTATGCAACTTTGTATCTTCAACTTAAAATGAATAAATAAATCAACTAGGAAAGCAAATGCATCATCATGTTTACCTTCACATGGCCTAGCCTAACAAAGTACTACTCAGTTTCTTCTTATTCAAACATTTGTTGTATATATTGATCATCCCTCCAGATCTGTACTGCTACATAATGAAGCCTAACACCACAGTGTGTCCATGGTGACAGATGTCTTGTCTAGGTTGTTGACTCCATTTGTTTGGAGAATAAGAAACAGAATAAAAAGAACATTTTTTTCCTTCTGCAAAGGTAAACATCATAAGTTCAGTTTTAATAGATTTATTCCAGACAGACATAGCCAGCAACATCCAACATCATCCAGCCTGCCTGCACTACCACAGATAGTTGTTAGGGGGCACACCTGAGCCTCTATCCTGGCTGCTGTCTCGGCTGCCAGCTGGTCCTTCAGCAGGTGCACCTGCGCGATGGCCACCTGCGTCTGTTGCTGCTGCTGCTGCAGCTGCTGCTGGAGAAGCTGCACCTGGTGGTGCATGCTGAGGGGGGTGGATGACGCCTGGCTGTCCCCTGCCCCCTGGGGCAGCGTCATGTAGGGGGTATGGAGAGGAGAGGACAAGGTGGCACCCTCCTGTAGGGACAGGCATTGGGGTGTGTCAATTTCAAGTTATTGTAGCATCGGCCTGGCAGAAGTACGTCTGAGTTTAGAAGCATACTGTGCTGGAAATTATAGAAAAATATTACAGAGACAAGACAAATGACAGTGAAAAGATGCAGGAAAGTAAGGTTGGCTGGAAGCTAATCTCACCTCTGGTAAGAAGAACTCATATATCTGAGGAGTTGGGAAAACACACAGAGAAGAGAAAATAGAAGAAAAGAAAGTAAAGACAGAAGCACGAGAAGAAAAAGAAGAAGAGCAAAAAAAGAGGAGTGACAGACCGCTTAGCAGTAATATGTTTATTTTGACAAAACTGCAGTGATACTCTTGTCAACCCTCAAAAAAGTCATCAGTGACCTAGTGACTGTTGATGGTTCATCAAGATAAAAATACTAATTCAATTTATCATAAATGCATATTCCTATAAATATATATATGGTTAGTGAAGAAGTTGATGCTAATACTAGTAGATTAAAGCGTTGAAGACTGACCTCTCCGCAGACTTTCCTGGCCTCGAAGTGCTTGTCCAGGTCGGTGACCCCCCGCGAGGCTGGCGTGGCGTAATCTGTGGTTGGTATCTCCTCAGCATCGATGTCCGTCTCTCCGACATGCTCATCTTCGTCTACTGCGTTGCTCCCGTCAACCGTTCGGTGACCTAGAGATGCAAAAGAAGGTCATGTTCCATTATAACAATCTACAACACACTGTATATAGACATGATAGTGCACTCTTTTGTTCATAGCCTGGGTGCTATCTCTTTTGTCACAGGACTCCTTTGCACTTGGTATCCTTTGTATTCTTTTTCAAGTCCCTGATGTGCTAGCTTATGAGAAGTTTCACATTTGTAACACAAGAGAAAGAGGGAAAGACACAAGGGCTGTGTCAGTCCACAACCGAGCACACAACCACTAGATCAAAAGGTCTAGGACCCATTGGGCTGGGCAGCTAGTGACACTTATATACTCGCTGTTACACGTCTTTCAATAGATAACAACAGGTAGAGCGTTCTTGCCCTGCGTACCTGGACTGTGTTCCTCTGCCTTGTCACTCTCCCCGTCCGCCTGTCCGTCGCCCTGTGCCGCGGCGTGCAGCAGACTCAGCTTGTGGCACACCTCAAACGCCTGCCCGATGGTCCGCACTATACGCATGGCCTGGCTCTGTGGAAACACAAAGTAGTGTGATTTACTGTGACATGACGTATGTGTACCAGATAGGATTGGCAGAAATTTTGATTCTCTGTTGGATATGGGATTAGGCGGTAACCCAGCAGCAAGGAAAAGGTTAGAGATGTCAGTGCACATCAAAGATTAACTGAGATGCTCACTGACTTGTTCTTGTTGTTGTACGTCTAGTTATAGACTTATCAAACAATTGCAAAAAAACCCCCACTGAACTTGTGACATTTTGCCAATGCTTAAACAGATGGACCACACAAGTGTGTAAGTAGTATTTCAGGAAGGAAAAATCCAGAGATCACCTACTGCCTAAAATTCCTGTTTTGCAGATGTGTCATCAAAGTTAAATAAATACCAGCAAAAAAGGAAGGAGGCATTTTTTACGACACTGTCTGGCCCTGTGTGGCAAATGTGCAAACATGTGCAGTGTTGTGCACCAATGTCTGAATCATACGGATCAACATTACAGGGGCACAATACACTAACCTCTGCCTAACTCAGTACGTTTGTGACCATCTTGCTCTTAGTGTGACATATTGCCTAACTTTCAACACACACTGACAAAGTTAGGCATCTGTGACACATAGGGTACTGATCAAAGGAATGATTTGGAAGGTGTCAGTCAGAATGTGGTACAGGTACTTTGAAGTTTGTGACTGACATGTTTCAAATATACTGTATACATTTGAGCTCATTACAGCTTAGCATTTTCAGGGAAGATATTTACAACATTTTAAGATATCTATTGCCAAAAAAATAAATATATGGTGTGTCCATAGTGGTCACATTTGAGCGACCACTATAGACAGGTTTGACTGTACAATGTACCTGGTAGTTTTAAAAAGTCCACCAGAAAATTTGGTTGACAAACAGACTGAGAGATTGAGTCTCAAGGGAGAAGTTAAGAAAAGAGGAACCTTGTCTGGCCAAATGGCAGATTTATCTTTTTGGAGATAACCTGACACATGGTAGTCAGCAGATACCACAAATGGAGGCATGATGTGATTAGCTGAGCAGCCAATCATATGGTTCCATTTGTCACTTCATCAGTAGGGGTCAAACACTTTCTCTCCTGTCAATTCCCATCTTTTATCTTTTCTTCTGACTAATGATCTAGATACTGAGAATATTCTATACTGAAAATTCCAATATGTATGTAAGTTGGCAAAATTTTGGTACAGATAAAATTCTGTTATAACATGTGCTTACACTTATCCAAAACGAAAATTGTAGTGGTTTACATCAGTAGAAGATTTGTATCGACCGCTTCAACCTTTCTTTCCAAGATGCTAACCTTTACATGTAATTTCAACTCAAGCATATCGACTTCTTAATAAGAGAGAAATACTGAGAAGATGAAAAAGCGATCCTTCACAGTCAGTTGAACAGGCAGAACACAATCAATGAAGATGGAACATCTACAAGGTGTCTGGAGCCTAAGTGGCTGCCAGATGGAACAAATAAAGTACATGTTTCATCACAAGCCGTTATCCATCATAAAGGCAGGGACTGGTGCTGACACTGCATGAAATATGAGTTCCTCAAGACTAGAGTAAGGCTATTGGTGAGTGTTAGTTACCTTTCAAATCATGAATTTGGACTAAATGTACAGGGGTATGAGTTCACGCTAGATAGATTAATTTTGCTAGCATTCAAGAACTCACAGAATCTAAAGAAATCTTTCTATTTCTTGCATAAACTATAATAAATACAGAGCCAAAAGATGCCTTTATGAAAGTTTATCACAAAATTGTGCAGTGTGTTTGGATTCTTTTTATTCCATCACATCTGTAGCTCTCTGTCCAAAGAAATTCTTTTACCCCCCCTCCCCTCCATCCCTCATGCCCCTAGATGACACAGTAGCCCAGTTGTGACCCCAGTTGTGCTTTATGTTCCCCTGTAGCACAGCTGGTCATCACCACTGGCTGTGTCAGGACAGAAGGCAGAGAATCAGGGGGAAAGCTGATGACAGATAGAGTGACACTTCATTCTGATAAACTAGACACATATACGCTCGTCAATATCACCTTATAATCTGCAGCACATGTATTAGACAACAACAACTTCCCTGAATTTTATTGAAAAGTAGTTTTTGTACTGCACTTCTTTGAACAGTAGTAGTATTACAGTATAATACATGAACAAGTGAATTTTTGGACACATTTTCGATATTACCCAATGAGTGAAACTTAAAGAATAGTTTAACCGTTACCAGTATGTTTCCAAAATATTCCAATCATCATTCAATTACCAGCATATGATAGCAACTTGGAATAAATTCAAGAAAACAATATGGATGTTTCTGCCATCCTCTAGTGAAATATACATGTAGCTCCGATAGTGAGCAAACCAAAGTTCAATACACGAATGGACCTATCCATACTGTAACACATATGCTGCAGCTGCCAGGGATCGGAAAAAGTCAATCCTGCAAAGCTCAACAATACAAATGTATTTCAGGCTGGAAACGTCAATATTTTAAAGCAGAGTGGCTTTTGCAGTTTCAACAGTAATCACTGTAGGGCAATTCATCACCCAACTATATACACATCTCCCAATAGCACTTCCAGCATGTTGAATTGTGCAGCCTGGCCAATCACTAATACTGTTTAAATGTAAGATGAATGATCTGAATCAGTGAAAATTCGGCACCTGTTTATAGCCATGATCTACCTTAGGGCATAGGAATTCTATTCTTACCAAAAGGAATTGTATAGCTATTGATATAGTTTGCTGGCAAATACACTAAAATTACTGTAATATCAACATTTTCAAGAGCTTTTCATTGGGAAGACTGTACCACTCATGGAATATGATAACACATCAATGTCCAAAAATATGATACAAAAATTTTGTGCCAATACATTGGTTCAATCTTACGATGTATAGTAAATACTAGTAATTAAAAAAATGGTGCGGATTTTTTTTACATTTCCAAGGTCTCGGATCCTAATTCCTTTTCGAGTTGACCCTCATTCCTTTTCGAGTCTTTAACCCAATCTCCAATCTATACATATCCCTGACCTAATTTTCAGCAGGTACTGATGCTGTACTGTACAAGATATGCTCAGGCTAATGGCAAAATCCATACAGTACAAGAGGTTCCTATTGCTAAAATTTGGCCACGCTTGATTCATGGCACTAAACTGCCATTTGGCCGCTATTTTCCCGAAGCCACAATCCTACGACCCCATGCAACAATCTCTTAAAGTGACAACGAATCAAATCAATCCAGGGCACTAATTGGCCCTTTCTTGCCGCAATATGTTTCCCCCATTATGGCTCCTACGAGATTTATGAACCAAGTATTTTAAAACTCTGTTATTTTTCTCCATTATCCATCATCTTCGACAAGGCAGAGTCCGTTAAGCCAGATATATTGTCGTTGCTATCGATTTTATTTGACAAAATAGACCAGCTTAGGTCCCATCTGTACTTTACTGTTAATTCTTTATGTAAAGCTCTCCAATAAAGGCCTCTTGTATGATATTCTCCTGGCTTTGGAGTAACAATATATTTCAGGTATTGGAGTGGAGTGTGTACCAAATTTCGATAATTTTGAACAAATTGCAAAATATGCTGAGCAGACCAGATTTGTACATTTTGGGTACGCAGCTATTCCGGCACTTGTTCTGTATTGGACTCAGTCGTGCGTCAAAATTTAATGAAACACATGGGAAATACTCACACCTATAGGATCTATGCACGCATATCCTATATATGCCTGTCGTTTATTGAGAATACATGTACACCACATGGCCATTCTGGTTATAATGCCTGCAAATTACAGGCAGACAAATTTTGCCATAATGGTAAAGCCTGCCAGTTTACCAAATTTAAACTACCCCATCCTTAATGGCACGGTGATCATTTGTGCGTCAGCTTTCCAGTTGGCTAGTTATCTCTGTTGGAAGTCCGTTTAAGCCCCCCCCCCCAAGCATCGAGCGGCCTGAGGGTCCAATTTTGTAAAGATTTTACATTGACCTCTTCCATCTCTCTTCAGGTCATCTCAAGACTGGAGAGGAATACTGTAATTCACTCCATGTTCGCTGTTAGTGGTAGCAAAAGTTTGTGGCCATTAGTAAAATGGAGGTCGCCAAATTATTTGTTAACATAAGTTCGTGGTACACAGAAGTGACCGCAAAACATTAATGTGCTGTGAAAAAATCAGGAATTACAGTGCCAATAAGACTTGAGTGTTGACGTACTATGTTCTTTATTTTGCTTGTTCCACGGCGTGCCAAAACACGGCTCCATTTTTGGCAGTGTGGAGCCCTCTGCCTTTCTAGTGCTTTCTCACCAAACTGAGTCTAACCAGGGTGTTGACTCTGACCACAAGGTCTCGACCTGCCAGAGTTCAGGTCTGGTAAATACACCTTCTCAAATGTCCTGACAGAGGTCCTTAATTTCCCCTCCATACTCCTTAGCCCTCCCCGGGGCACCTTTAGAAGTCTCTGGAAGGCTCCTGGCTATTTACAGAGCAATCTGTCTTGGGAAATGTAAGACCAAGGGAGAGGATGGAGTCTCTCATCAACTGGGAGAATGTCTCCATTATGTATGACTAGACCGTCTGTCTGGCCATTCCATAACTTCAAGGCCACATGTACAGTCATGTGCATTGTAGTTATGCTTAAACCAAATCCAGATGATTCCCAGTTCCCCAGAGCAAAATCAAGGCCTCAACCTCAATTATGATGTAACTACATATTTGTTGTCTGATACACAATAAAAGCTCATCATAAATACCCAAAAGTGAAAATTACCAAAACTTTATTTAATAAACTGAATCCTCTCAAAAACATCCAGAGCTTAACTAACTTTTTTTCCATTACCTGACTTGAAATATCCCTCATTCCTCCTGGAATCTAGTGCGTCAATACTTCCTAATTGAACAAGAACCCTCTCTTCCAGGGGCTCCTCACCCTGACCTGCAAGTCTGACCTTTGCTGTGACCTCGCGACCTCTAATAGCAATCCCCCCTCCCCGGCAGGTACAATACCTGTAACAGACTCAATGTTGATTACAGCGATCTGCCCAAGACTGATATTCTGCCTTCTAGCTTATCTGATAATGGGCAGGAAGAACATGGAACCTTTAGAAGGGCCTACAGCAAATTGACTTAATGTCCGCCCTCCCCTCCCAACCAGAGACGATTTGTGGCAGCAGATTTTGGCAGTTTCATTCATCTTATTAGGCTACACCGACTTAATTTTATGGATGACATCCGCGCGCGCATTAATTTTCGCCTGTTCTCAAAAAAAAAAAAGATCACGTCCACCGAAGCTCTGGCCTAGCTCTAGGCCTGGGTAGCCCATGGTAGTTAGCGACAATTCGGAGCCGGGCACATAGGCTACCGAAGCTCCACAACTCAACAACGCAGTGCATACGTACAGTGCCGATTCATTAACTCCGCAAAAAGCCAGCATGTACCGGCTTGTCGTATACGTCGCTATGTACTGCCGCAAATTCACAATACCAGCTGTGTATTCCTGTGGTTTTGAAGCATTTTTATTTTTGGCCGGAATTTTATTTTATTCGTCCGCGCGCACTAGTTTGGGGGTCTTCAGAGGATGTCATCCATAAAATTAAGTCGGTGTGGCCTTACAAGAAAACTCTCAAGGTTGGTAGTTTGAAAAATGGGCTTTTGAAAGGATGGATCTCGCATCAGCATTCATGAAAAAGGTTAGAAGCCGACGTGAGAAAAATGGACACAATTACGTTGGCTGGCCGGCAAAGATTAGAACATGTGAGGTTCATTTTCATCAGACAGGGAATACATGCCCTGCCCTTCCTGAAGAGAACACGGAAATAGACCATATTAAGCCTGTGCCAATTCAATATGATGGTTCTTTCATTTGAGACTAAAAACTGCAATATGGCTGAACTCAAACATCAACAAGAAAAAGAGTCTAAAGGGAAGGCCTTGACCCTTGGAAAAGAAGAGAGTCTCAGAGTAGAAGTCAGTAATGTAACGGTAATGCTAATTTGTCATCGAGATCTCTAGATGCAAGCTTTTCTCCTATTGTGACTTGATTTTGAAGTCCGAAAATCAAGGAATAAATTGGCTGTCCTAATGGGTTGTAGGTGGAAAGGGGAGGGCCTGCATGTGACAAAAAAGTTGCAGCAATGCCCAAAGAAACATCAGTACGTCAGTAAAACTTTTATCACACTTTTGTCCTATATTTTTGATGAAATCATATTTACTAGCCAGCAATATGAACAATATCATCCTATTGGTTAAAAGTCTAGCTTCCTTACCTTGACTTTCTTTCCCATTCAAAAAAGTCAAGGTTATCGATGTAACCAAACTTTTAATGTATGATGCAACCTGACACCATAAAATTAGGTCATGCATGACCAACTGCCTCACTTGCTGTACCAGTCATGTCCTGACACGCTCCAATATAATGGCTGCCTTCATGCCATTATGATTGGCCCGAGCCTATAGATAAGTATTCCCAATCCCACAATGTTTCATGCAAGAGACACTGCTGACTGGGGGTTCAGGCACGATCGATAGGCTTTTACTCCATCCCCAAACGGTGTCCTTTAAGGGTCATTTCATCTCAATATCCCGATTCCTCATGCACAACCTTTTTGGCACTCAGGAGAAATGGCACAAGACAGCTGGCTGGGAGGATGGGTATTGCTGATGGAGAAAGGATGGGCATGTCCCCCTAGCATGCATTATCAGAACTGCAGAGGTTCTTTCACTTAGTCTAGAACTAAACTTTTAGAGCCTCTGTACTGTCATTTTCCAAGGTTAAACGTAGTGATCATTCAGTGTCACTCTGTACCCGAATCTGGACATGTGAACAGATTTATCCAGGAAGTCCTTAATCAATTCATTTCCTGAGATCTAAAAGCTTCCTAGCTCCCAGCAATTGTGTGCCTAAAAATACTTACAGTCTAAAAATTGAGTTACCTAAACATTTCCGCTGGTGCTTCCGTTGGTTTCAACTGTTATGAGAAGAGTCTAAAAGCCTAAAACAATCAGTTGAGCTTTTCTCAACTCAAGGGAAATGTAATTTGTCATTTTCTCTTACAATTTCAGTTGTTGCAGGAAGAGCCTTAGTGTGACCATCGATCACTCACCTTCTTGTTAGCCTTGAAGACGTTACACTTGAAGACATTGTTGGGGCCGTCTCGACAGATGTAGCTGAAAATCTTCAAGTCTTGGGAGTCATGCGACACGTAGAATATTCTGGAAAACATAACAAAAGAACATTTGGTGATTACAAATGATTCCTTGGGAAATTCCGGTCAATATAACAAAAAACAAAGTATGGTCATATGTACATGTATATAGAAAGCGAAATGCTGGTAGCAACAATTAAGGCTAAGACTTGATTTTTGTGAATTTTGTTAACAAAATCTTTAATGTAACTGTACCTAGGCTATAGAGAGAGTATGTGCACACCATTTTTTCAATGGAGTTTGATTGGGATTAAGTTGTAGTGCTGTGACACTGTTTCCATGGTTTGAAGACCAACCATTACTTGACAAATTGTCTCTTTTCCCTTTTCCATCGCTAAATGTCATCAGAGTCGACAAACTTGTCACTTTGTAACAAGCGGTAAACTTATCACTGTCACTGCCTAAAGCATCACTATTTGTATCAATGTCACTGCCAGTGTTTACGGCAGAGTTACCATTATCAGTATTGAACTTCTTTCTGTTACCATCATCGGGGTAATTTTTATGATGGTTAAGTACTTTGTGCAAGGTAAAAGGCATACCACACTACAAAAATGCAGCAAGGAGGTTATAGGGGGAGATATAACCCCCTTGGATGCAGCATACTGGCAAGACTACTGGTACTGATAATGACAGTGCCAGTGACGGATGCCTCACATTCTGCCGTCGTAATACCATCCATAGACAATAAGACCTCCCTGCAGGTAATAAGCCCGGGCATTGGTTCTCACACATTGGACAAGGTCACCTTGAAGCAGCTGACCCAAAATAGAACTCATACTTCTGTGTAGGACCTGTCAGCCGGGATGCGGCGTGATGGGGATCATTTGTCCACCCTTAATGTGAGATTGGGCCGTAAATCCACCAGGCTAGAAAGGACCTCCATTCACAGTGGATTCGTTTTTGATGTGTCCATCGCGGATGGAGCAGTTTGGCTCAACATGAATCCTACACGCGTCTATAAAACAGCAAATTGCACGGCAAATTTATGTTCCAGTGTCCCTTCCCCGTGCGTAAGTACAGTTTGTCACCAGAGAGACCATCTTGAAAGCTTCCTCGTTCGCACTTCACTTTATGATGAAACTTTCAGGGCTGGGAATCTCTCCAGGAGGATCACCTGAGGAGCAATTGGATGTCTTTTATGTCTACAACATAACTGAAGGGAGTCCCTTCCTAAATTTAAGCTACTTTATCTGCTTATCTTTGTCTTGGCCACCTACATGTAGGTACAGGAATGGGAGAAACATTTTAGTCTAAGGTATGTGCTGTGTCAATAGTAGACTGGATGACTTTCAGAGAAGAAATATTTTGTTTTATACATTTACTTACTAATCACCAGTGGCTAATGGTTACAGGGAGGATAATGGTCACTCACAGCTCTAGACCATGTATACTGTCTTGCAATGATTGGAACTGCTTGAGGATTATACATTTACACTAATACAAGAGTGTGTGTTCATGGCATGGGGAGGGGGAATGTTTACATTATGAACAATTCTGAGTGATGCCACTTCTCAGGTAGTCATTACAACTGCGGAAGCCTCTGGGGGTCGTAATTATCACTAATCAAACAAGTTAATCAGTCTTGCTTTTGTGATGGCAAAGCTTTGAGTAAACTTTACTGCTACTCAGTGCTTCTCCTAAGAGCTGTAGAACTTACTAGAAGAGTTATTTCTAGATAAACATCAGTGAAAAGTCACAGTAGCAATTGTACTAGTAAGTTGTGATGAAATAAACCACTTAACACCACACAATTTAAAAGACAACCGCTCTTATAATTATCGTAGGAGAACAAAAACGTCCAGCCTTTGATGTCTGTCGGAGCGGGAACCTGAGCCAGAGGTGACACTTCAGAGTTTCCGGCACCACCTGTAATACATGTAATCAAACACAGCAAGACATGCAGGGAAGGGGCAGGTGCTTAAAGATGTTGACATTTGAGTGCCCCCCATTTACCCACCTGCCAGCCGCAGAGATGCTTTTAGCTTAAAAGGTTTTTCCAGCCTCAACTGAGCAACCACAAGCTGGTTTAATTGTTTGCGGAGAGGAATTCCATTCAGAAACCTGTCAAACCATTTAGATAGGTCAACTTTTTAATGCCTCTGTGCTGACATGTAATATCACGTAAGGGAGGAAAAATATGCCCCTCATCAGAAATGATGTTTCTTCTGATTACATCACTACAAACATGTTTCCTTAGATTACATGCATTTGAACAGCATCAAATGATAACAGTTTGTAGTTATTTTCTAAGCATTTGGAACCCACCAATTACCCCTTGAAAATGGATGTTATCAAAACTTGTTTTCAGGTATGTGGGATGTACATCAGCAACACAAGTTAGCAGAGCAACCAAAAATACATAGCAACTGAAAAGTGGATAAACTTACTTTAAAGATAACAGAAACTAAATACACCTGTGCAAAATCAAACTAAAGAAAAAAACTTCTATTTTGAGCCATCACCGTAAGAATACTGCAAGTGGAAGACATGACCTTTTAAAAGAGCCCGTCAATTCCATGAATATTGACAGAACACTATAAATAAAAAGGTCGGGTTTTGGAAGTCAGCATCTTTTGTAAATGTCTCCTAGGGACCAGAAAGGTGAAGAAGTGATGGATACTGGCATTTGATTATTCCGTAATTTATCTCTGGGGTATTGAAACTCCAGGAAACATTATAATCCATTTATCGACAGCTTAAATTTAAAATATCGCCTGCGGTGCAGAGATAGTTAGGACAATTTGCCCAACCAATTTTCAATCTTGTCAGGAAAATTACATTGTTTTGCCTGTCTGATTTTTTCCCACATTGTCAGAATGGCGATAATGCGTGTCATTATAGGAAATCTATAAGCCCCCTCCCCGGGGCTTCAATCAACAGTGCAATTTTGCACTTTTTCTAACTCTAACAATATCAAAGTACATCAAAATCAGCAGGGGTTATGTCGCGTGCTGAGATCAAAATGCAAGGCAAAAGCTGAGCCAGCACTTCCAGACAATTGTACACTTTCATCACGTTTGTACTTGGAACTAAAACACTACACCTGCAGATGTACATGCATAAGGGGAACTCATACCTTTCAAAGACAAAAAGTATATTCTACACACGATGTTGACTTTTTGTACCTAATATTTCATGACAGCCTGGCACTTGTCTCAAAGTTAGACACGAACTTGGGACAAAAGTGGCTGTATGAATCACTCCATTGCCGCCAGTAGAGTTGAATGTACTTTACTTGTCAGTCTTGTGTCGCAGGTGAATTTTGAATTACCTATCTGGGTTGTGCAGTTGGTGCTGCCCACTCAGGCATAAAATGCCAGCCGCTTTGAGTTTGAGGAAAACAAGGGCCCTGTAGTACACCCAAACGGATGCTTGCCACAGGCAAAGCAGATAGACTTTACCTTGAACAGGAGCTGCCCAAATGGGGAATGAGACATCAATAATTAGTGCTCATGTTGTTGGAGACTGACAAATGGGAACATGGGAATTTGTGCATAACTGATCACCATGTCACCTGGTGTCTGTAGATTGTTTCCGCAGATTGCACCTACATTTCTGCATTCTGTTTCTATATGGTTTGAAGGGCATCATGTCAAAATGCCCCTGAATTTGCCACCTATAATTTTCAAACTTTGACACTAAAAATGAATAAATCTACAACAAGTTTGATTGGCCTCATGTAAGCAGTAAACATTTATGTGTGGGGTGAAGATATTTTACAGCTACATTGTAAATCTATATGGATGTCATAATTGTGTTATCTAATAGCCCTCAAGCATAAACAGGTAGTTTGAGCCCATCTGCTAAAGCTGACACAATGCACTTTTACATGTATATTGGACCCAGTCTGGACTGACACTGATGAAACTTTAAAGGGGTCTAGACAAACTTTTTGTTGAGAAACTATATAGATTCTAATCTAACTAAAATGAATTGAACCAGTTTCTTATCTCTTGCTACAGACGGGCCAATGAATTACGAGTGTTGTACCAGCCATCTTTCTACGGTGTATATAAAACTTGTTTTGCGTCAAACCAGGGTCTTTCTACATTTATGTTATCTTCCATGGTCTTATGTTGGTTACCTACTGAAAAGCCTATGTAGATATCTGGTGCCATTCTAAACATAATCATAACGTTCATGGACTGCCAATCAATAATACATTTGAACAAAATTTCCAGCACAAGGACAAGTCTAAAAGATCGAAATATTCACTTACATCAGAAATTAGTCTACTTTGTAAAGTTTCTTTGTAACTTTTCAAAACTTCTGGGTGTGTCTAGCCTACAAAATGTACAACCACCACATATTCATTCGAGTCATCCTTTCCTTTCCTTTCTTATTAATCTTCCACAGATACAAAATGTGAAGGAGCCAGGATTTCAGGCAATATTCCGTCTCCACCTTTTGACATGGCGTGCCTCCAAGAAACTCTCTCCCAAATAAACGACCTTCACAAACCATTTGCTACCCAGCGACATATTCGGAACAGGTGTGTGCACAATATCGCATCGTTAAGCCTCCTTAAGAAGACCCACCGTCTACCTCGTGTCATTTGTACATGACCTTGGGGTGCCCACTTGGGGAAGATGTTGCTGTTTTAAGAAATATTGCGTGTATTAAGAAAATATAGGAAGTCAAATTTGCAACCCCTGCCTCCCGCAAATCCAACCACCTGGTGCCCTACAGGAATAGATGTCATGGGGGATCTCTTGAAAAAATGTGCAATTCTCATTACGGAATCACCCTTGACTCACATCCAAAGTAGAAGTCCCATAAGCATCATTATCCATGCTCAAGTCTACAAGCACATTCATTTAAGTTTTCTGTGCATAATGACCCAAAAGTTTACAGACATCTTTTTTTTCTCATAGTTGTTATGACTTCAACACTTGGCTGGAACGACGTTCAGTTATTAACATTCCAACCACATACTTTCTTGCCAGGAAAGAAGGAAATGCCGGCCAAGTGAGCAGTATGGTTTTGTCATCAACTTCGAATACG